ACTCATCGTCTACGTCGATGACCTACTCTACGTCAGCTCAACTACCGACGTCGACACCTGGTTCGAAGGGGAGCTAAGGAGAGACCTAACACTCACGGTGTCAGACACCATGAGCCAGTACCTAGGTATAAACATCGTCGAAGACGACTCGGCGTTCTACCTACACACCGGAAAATACGCAGGCGTTGTCGTGAGGAAATTTGGCCTAACACTAGTCGCAGTCGGGACTCCCTATCACTACGGGAACAACAGCAAAAACTCCGCAAAGCTCCCCGCGAAGCAAATTCAGGAGTATCAACAGAAACTCGGCTATTTACTGTTCGCAGCAGTAACCTGCCGATCGGATCTGTCCTATAGCGCGAGCCAACTGGCGACACACCTGAAGCAGCCGGAGCAAGAGGATCTCGAGGAGCTAAACCGAGCACTACTCTACTTCATCTCTACGGCGACGACCGGACTTACCTACAGCAAGGTAACACCATCGTCCGTACAGCTTCTCGGCTATGTCGACGCCGACCACGCAGGAGACAGGGAGAAACGTCGCTCCAGAACGGGCTACGTCTACCAACTAGAACCTATCGGCACTATTTCCTGGCAATCGAGCAAGCAGGAACTAATTGCACTATCCTCGGCTGAAGCGGAATACATCGCTCTCTGCTCTACGACCAAAGAGGGAATTTACCTCTGGGAGCTGCTCGAGGAAGCAAAAATTACGACCATGCCCGCCTTCTCGTTATTTTGCGACAACCAATCTGCGATCAAAACCGCGAACAAAAACGGGTTCGCCAATCGAACCAAACACATCGCCCTGCAGTATTTCTTCGTGAAGGATGAAATCGCGAAGGGGAGACTTCAACTTAGTTACTGCCCCACGACAGAAATGGCTGCAGATTACCTGACGAAGAAAATGGCGAAGGCAAAGTTCGATTACTGCATGCTGCTGACCGGGCAGATAAACGTCACCGAATCCGGACACGTCAGCACTCCAAAAACGAAGGGGAGTGTTGGAAATACCTCGAAGACTTAAGCGTTTCTGAAGTGTAACACTACACTCGAAGAAATGTCATATCGAGTACGCGAGTCAACGGAGGTTACACGAGGAGGTTGGACGAAAGAACACAAAAGGACGAAGGGACTCGAAGGATCGCAACCGGAGGTTGCGACTGGCCGTTACGACTGCAAGGGTGGTAGCCAAACCATTGATCGAATCGCTAAGCGACTCGATAAACCGTTTCTTCAACTGTATTCCACAACTGCTCTATTTCCTATTTCCTATATATTGATGTATGCTTGTTTCTTTTAATCAATCACTTGCTCTCACATACTAGTGCAAGGGTTCAACTACTCAACACTTCCGCTGCACTACTCAAGCATCTTGTACAAGCGAGACTTAGTCTCTGAAAAGATCCCAAGGGCTTTTCTCAGCCCAACAACACATACGCACACAACATGTGCCAGCTTGCGTGAAGGTCTGGATGTAACCCCGAGGGGTTCTATGTAAGGAATTCTCCATTCCTTACTGAGCTGTACCGCTACCGCGTACGCTCAAACACACCCGAAGCCTCGGGACTATTCCGGACCTTTCTGACAGAACCGCATCGGCCTTTCCAGACCTGCTAGTTCGACTTTCGGGAGTTCTCCGGGCCTCGCTTCGTCACTTCGAGACCCTTCGATCTCCTTCCCGAACCTTACCATCGCATGGTTAGACTAGCTCTGGTGTTCCTATATCTTGGCTTGCCATTCCTTGTATCGTCATTCAGTGAGTGAACATTTCGTTATTCATTTCCGCGCTACTCTGCTTGTTCATTCATAACATTCTAACTGCCACAGCAGTACGCGACATAATTATGCTGTACTCTAGCCTAGATTACAAAAGTGAGCCAACCTGAATCGGACTCCAGCCATAATGTGATGGAAATCGAAGTTGGCCCCTGGTTTTGGGCTTGTGTGAAATATACGCGCTGGTGGGCTTGTCTGGAAGACGAGTTTTTGTGTCAGTTCCTCATTCAATTATGCAGGTAGGAGAACGATAAACATACCGTATTCCCCCGTATACAACACCCCGCAAAATTAAACTCCCATGGGTAGTTTGAGCGGACATGGGTGCTTTATTAAAGTGGATATTGATAACACCCGCCTTCGACGATTGCAAACATTTGAACACCCCCCTACTTTATAAAATGTTATTTTTAGTCAATAAACAGAGCTACAAACATCAGATGTTAGATATCCTACGAATTCCATAGAGTATTGCCTACAGAACCAAGTCCTACTGCAGATTGTCATATTGTATGATGAGGTCCTACAGATGCTAGTCGTCGGCTTCAGCATCCGCAGCATCACCGTCAGAGTCTTCAGCATCAGCATCCTCCTCCTCAGGATCCCCCGCATGCCAGATCTCCACATCTTCTTCATTCGCGACCTCATCCCACCAGCGGTCGTCATCGTCCTCCCCAGCAATCCCCTCTGCCGGCCACTCCCGAACAGGCTCATCCAGCGGGCCCTCCCCCTCGCATGCAAGCTCTTCAAGTAGGACGTCAGCGGCGTTATCGTCCTCATCGAAGTCGGGGGTGTCCATGGGGGGCTCAACAAAGCAATCGTCGTACAGGGGGTTGACGTACTCATCCTCCCCCTCCTCCGCGTGCACATCGTCCATGATCTCCACCTCTGCCTTGCTGCGGAGGTGGCTCAGGACGAGCGGGTCTTCGGAGCCACTGAGGTCGTTGGCAATACCGCAGGTCCTGAAGCTCTTGCGGATGAGCTCCTCGGGGACTGCATCCCATGAGCGAGCAATCCACTTGAGGATTAGCTCCGGTGGGGGCTTCCTCAAATTTCCTGGAAAACATAGGACACGCATGCTTTCCTTAGTCTTCTCGTGACACTTGCGTTACGCCCAGTAGGAAAAAAACCAGAGACAGTGCTGAAGGAAGTGGACCGTACCTTGCTTGGTCTTGAGATTGATGCCGAATCTCTCAAACCACCCGCCGTAATCACTTCGAACGCCTGCCTTGAAGCACTTGTTTACCGAGACGTCGAGGGGCTGCACCAGCGGCGTGCACCCTCCCGGGATAACGGCGCGGGTAAACTTGAAAAGGCGCATCGTCTGTCCCACCGCCTCCGTCAGGTGGCCCTTGTAGGAATCCAGGACGACGAGCGCGTCCTTCCTCCTCCCATTTGCTTCTCGCAATGGTTTCATGAACGGGTTCAGGACCTGGGTAACCCAATCCTGAACGTGCTTCTCGTCCATCCAGCCCTTGTTCTGGGCGCGGATTATTACTCCTGCATCAGTAAACGATTAAATGTGTGTTAGAACTTAGATTACCGAGGCCACCAGAATCGATATCACCTTTGACAAAGGGAATATCTTACCAGCTGGGACTTGAATCTTCGGAACAGTCTTCCTTTTGAAGATGACGTATGGCGGGAGCTTCTTCCCCGATGCCGTCACTGCCAGCATCACAGTGAGTCTTTCCTTCTCATAGCCCGCGGTCCTCACGTGAACCGTGCGCGCCCCCTTGTGGTCCAAGGTCCTCTCCTGTGGCATCTCGATGAAGAGCGGCGTCTGGTCCGCGTTCACAATCAGGTCGTCGCTGTAGTTGTTCAAGATGCGCATCTGCTTGACAAATTCCCAAAACTTTTCAATCTTCACCCTCATGTCTGCATTCATAAACTCAAGGATACGAGAATGAATTAGATTGTAGACCCAGGCAATGTCTAAACAGGTAAGGAATCTTGAACAAATAGCATCCACCGGCCAAACTTACCGTCAGCAAGTTTCTGACCCATTTTGGTTTTAACGCGGCGTGTTAGACCCCATCGGGCGCGAAACCGGAAGGTCCACCGACTTGACCCGCGCCAGTCCACGCCAGGATGGTGCACCCGCATGTAGGCGCGACTCCACTTCTGCAGCTGCGAGACCGAGACTGCGAGCCCCTTGGACCGATGCCTCAAGAACTGTCGGTAGAGAGCCGACTCCATCACGGGGTACTTGGCCGGACGACCGCCACCGACGAGCCTCTTCCGACAACCAGCCGCAACTCTCAGCCGCTCCCGGGCCTTCTTCCATTCTCGAATGCTAATGGGCTGAACACCTGCAAGCTTCGCGAGGGCACGAATAGACAGGTCAGGCTGTGCATCAAACATCGCGAGCCAATACAGTTTCTCAGTAGCGGAATAGGAGCGACGTGCTCGTTTGGTCATTCTGCTGCGCGGGGACGGTGGATTCGCATCGTGGTTGATGGTGGGTCCTCTCGGCCTGACAACGGGTGACGGGAATGAGGGGAAAGTAACACGGGGCAGCGTACGGCGCTCCTGGCTAGCACCACTAGCCGCCTCGTCAGCAGTTGTGGCATCGTTGCTAGCTGTGCGGAGCGGGCTCCTAGGCGGAGATGAACTAGACGATCGCGGTACATGACGAGTGAAAAATGTCTGCCGGCCATGAGGGCCGCGTTGGGCAAGAAGGCGACTGAGACCAGAGCCCGTAGTCATGGCGTCGGTAGGCTAGGAGGATAAGGGCAGAGAACCCAAGATGCCTTCGACAGTCCATACTGGAGGAGTTTTGAGAGCATCCTGATCTCGGATGCAGAAATGAGGGGACGAAGCGGGCTATACCCCCCGTGAAACGACGAGGGTGGAGAGGAGAGGGACGTGAGCTCCTCCCTTGTCATGCCGCACACGACACCCCCGTCAGGACCATCCAGCGCTCACGCGCTGGACGCATCTTGACGACTCCGTCAACATGCCCCACGGTACCCTGCCAGATTCATCGACTCTGGCATGCTGCCATCGAGACGAGGTGCGCTGGCACACATCAGACAGGTAGCTAAGGAATCGGCGCAGATAGAAGACCCTCATTGGCTGCTGAACTCACCCTTGGGTGACACATGATCCCACTTGGCATGCCCCCGGGCCTTATCATCTCGTACGCGGTCAGAAGTCAGTTCAACAGGTTTCCAAGGTCTGGTTTAAGAACTCCTGCTTTTCTCCACATTGAACTATAAAATGCATGTTCCACAACACCCTGGCGTTATACAAAATTAGCCTCTAATTACACCCTCCTCAAAATTTAGATGCATTTTGGTTACCACCCTAGGGTGTTTTATACGGGGGAATACGGTATTTCTATACCATATTCTTCCACACTAATCTACATTTCATCAAGCTTCAAGGACTGAATCCGCCAAAAAGGTGCATTAGTCCCATTCGTATCCACTCAGCTTCTCAAAACTGCATCTCAGCTTCTCTAACATACTCTAGCCATCATTGGCTGTGCATCAACTAGTGTTCCATCCCTGTATAACACCCAATATCGGCCGTTCACCCCAGCCGATTATTGGCAGTCGGTTATCCACTTGTTCCATATATCGCAGCAGCTGTCATATCTCACACTAGCCGATGGTGCAGCTGCCCTTCCTCACAATAGCTCGCAGTGCACCTGCCCTATCCGCCCGCTCCTCCCCAGCAAGTACTCCATCCCCAGCTGTGCGCTGCGCAAATCACCACAGACACATCCTTCCCTCTTGCTGTCTATGATTACCACTTCCTATGTTAAAAACGAAGAAAAAAACCCCTTTCTCTCACAACAGCTGGCTGTGCACCTGCCCGATCCGCCCACTCCTCCCCAGCAGGTACTGCGCCCACGGCTGTGAGCGAATCACGGACGACAGATCGCTCTCCCTCTCGCTGTCCGTGGTGCGCACCCCCGCCGTCTTGTCCACCCATGGCACCACCAGGTTATGGCTCTTGGGGAAGTCCATGTCCTTGGGAATCACCTCGTAGGCCACCTGTGGTGACAGGAGAAAGAAGGGAAGTAGAGAGCACATGAAAGGACTGCCACATTGAACGTAGGTGATTGCACCCCCTCTGTCTTGTCCACCCACAGTACCATTAGGTTGTGGCTCTTGGGGAAGTCCATGTCCTTGGGAATCACCTCGTAGGCCACCTGTGCAAAAGTCGTGGGTAAAAAGATGGGGCAAATATGGAAAGAGAAAGCCATGACAGTGGGAACCATATGACCTATGTATTTTTCACCCATTCTTGGGGAAATCCATGTCCTTGAGAATGACCTCGTAGGCCACCCGTGGAGGCATGGTGGTCGCATGGGAGGCGGCGCAAGAGAAAGGGCGTACGATGAAAGTGGAAGTCGCATCTTCTCTGTCCTATCCACCCACAGCACCACCAGGTTGTGGCGCTGTGGGACGCTTTTGAGTCGACTCAAAAGCAGAGCACGACCAGGTTGTGGCCCTTGAGGAAATCCATGTCATTGAGGAATCCCTTCCTAAGCCACCTCTGGCAGTATGGCAAGGAAAAGGAGGGCGGACGGTAACGGTTACACACCCCACCCCCACACCCACAGCTAATCTCCTCCACACACACCCATGCACACACACGTACATGCACGCAAACAAGCACATGCTTTCCGGGTTGAGTCTGAGGGACTGCAGTGTAGCTTCTGCGAAAAGACCCCCACATCCCTGATATGTTAAGCCCTCCCCCCCCTTGCCTTCCACCTGCCCCCCCTCACATACGACATACCTTAACGGGGTTGAGTCTGAGTGATTGCAGCGTGGCTTCTGTGAAGGAACCCCCACATCCCTGACATGTCAACCTCCCTCCCCCCCCTCTTCCACCCCCCTCCCCCCCCCTCCCTTCCACCTCCCCCCCCCTCACACATGCGGCATACCTTATCGGGGTTGAGTCTGAGTGATTGCAGCGTGGCTTCTGTGAAGAGCCCCCCACAGCCCTCGTAGAGCACCACCACCAGCCGGGACTTGGGCAGGGCCTTGGTGACTGCAGGGGAGAGAGGGAGACGAAGATAGTGGGGGGATAAGTGTAAGGGAGATGGTGGGGGGTGAAGGGAACTGAAAAGACCCCCACAGCCCTTGTAGAGCACCACCACCAGCCTGGACTTGGGCAGGGCCTTGGTTGGTGACTGGAGAGAGGGAGACGAGAATGGGGAAGATGGGTGGGAAAAGATGTTCTCAGAATATCTTCAAGGTGCCTCAGAATGCATATCGCACATCCATGCACACCCATACATCCTTCAACACGCACCTATCTCCTGCGCCCCCTCCATGTGTGCCACATAGTGAGGAAGAAGCGAGAAGCCACAAAGTCACCTGCATGGTTGAACAGCGAGAAGCGCCGGGAGGTCCAACATTCCTCAGAATGCACCTCACACATCCCTACATGCATCCCTACATGCATCCCTACATGCATCCCTACATGCATCCCTACATGCATCCCTACATGCATCCCTACATGCATACCTACATGCATCCCTACATGCATCCCTACATGCATACCTACATGCATCCCTACATGCATCCCTACATACACCCAACAAACGCACCTCTCTCCTGCACTCCCTCTACATGTGTCACATACTCGCCTCCATGGTTGAACAGCGAGAAGCTCCAGGAGCTTGAAGGTGCCTCAGAATGCACGTCTCACACCCATGCATCCACACTCACATGTCTCCTACTCTCTCTCCGCGCGCGTTACATAGTCCCCTGCACCGTTAAACAGGGAGAATCACCTGCATGCAAGTCTTACCTCCATCCGTCCACCCATTTACCTACCCATCCACCCAACCACACTCACCTATCTCTTGTGCTCGCTCTGCGTGTGTCACATAGTCCCCTGAGTGGTTGAACAGTGAAAAGCGCCGGGAGCTTGCCACGTTGACAGGGGCGAGCAGGAAGACCAATGTGGGGCTGCCAGCTGGGAAGAGGGGGATGCGGTCAAGGGAAGGAGAGGGTTGGAGGAAAGGGAGAGGAGGGGAGGAAGTAAAATCAGCAAGGGGCGGAACCGCCCGTCAGAATCGTGCAGGCGGGCATTTCGCCAGCCAGATCCACACGAGACGCGCGCGGCTACGAGCCAGAAATGAGCCAGCTCGTCGAAGTTGGCAGCAGTGGTGAGCACGATGGGCAGGTGTGTCCGCCCGCGCCCCTCAACTGCCTTCACCAGAGTCTCCCACGTGCTGTGATGCGGCACCTCACAATGTGCTTGACCATGACTCACAGTCGGGCTCGTAGTTTGCAGCGGTGGTGAGCACGATGGGCAGGCGCGTGCGCCTGCGCCCCTCAAACGCCTTCATGAGCGTCTCCTTCGCCACCTCTGCTGGCACCAGGCGCATCTTGGACGCCGGCTGCACCGCCACCCACCCGTATGCACCAGACCCCGTGGGGTTCTCCTCTGAAGGAACAGCCACGATTGAGAGGGAGGGGCATGGAGAGGAGCAGAGGGGAAGAGAGGATGCGCTGTATGGAGTCTCCTCCGCCACCTGTGCTAGCACCAGGCGCATCTTCGATGCCGGCTGCACCGCCACCCACCCCTAGGCGCCGGATCCAGTGGGGTTCTCCTCTGCACGAGTCAGGTTCGCTGGTAGGGAAGTGGAGCGGAGTGGGGAACGCGGGCGGGTGGCCGGGAGGAGGAAGGGGGGGGTCGGGGTTAGTGTTGAGTCACCCTGGCCACCTCTGAGCGCACCAGGCAGCCACCCACCCATAGGCACCGGATCCGGTGGGATTCTCCTCTGGGCAATGAGGGGTGGATGAGGGGACCGTGGACGGGGGCAGAGATGGAGTGAGCGATTAGGGTTGAGTCACCCTGGCTCGCCACCTCTGCTGCCACCTCTGCGCATCTTGGATGCTGGCTGCTCTGCCACCCACCCTTATGCTCCTGATCCTGTGGGGTCCTCCTTTTCATGAGATGAAGCAGTGCACAAGAATACGTTGATACAGAAGAATACAATGGTTTACGGGAATGCACACTCTCCTTATACCAGGTAGATTACAACGAACATGGATTCTTAGCAACAAGATAAAGAACGAATACAAGTTAATTACCGTGCAGCAGCAGGAAGAAGAGGAAGGAGAGCATGACGAGCAGCACCAGCGCCTGCACTCCCAGCACCACCTGGGGGGGGAGGGGGTTGGTGGAGAGAGACACGGAGAGAGGTGGGCGAGACAGGGAGGGAGGTGGGAGAAACAGATAGAGAGGTGGAAGAGACAGGGAGGGAGGTGGGAGAAACAGATAGAGAGGTGGAAGAGACAGGGGCGGTGCATAAGAGGGGGAGAGTGCAGGGTGATGCACCAGCGTCTGCACTCCCAGAAGCACCCGAGGGGCAGTGCACACTGCAACTTTTGAGTCGACTCTTGAGTCAACTTTTGAGTCGAATCAAAAGTCACTCCCAGAAGCACCTCAGGGGCAGTGCACGCTGGAACAGCGGAGATGCATGGAAATGAGGAGGCACGAGGTGGGTGGCACGAGGTGGGTGGTACGAGGTGGGTGGCACGAGGTGGGTGGTACGAGGTGGGTGGCACGAGGTGGGTGGCACGAGGTGGGTGGCACGAGGTGGGTGGCATGAGGTGGGTGGCATGAGGTGGGTGGCATGAGGTGGGTGGCATGAGGTGGGTGGCATGAGGTGGGTGGCATGAGGTGGGTGGCATGAGGTGCGTGGCATGAGGCAGGTGGCACGAGATGGGTGGCATGAGCGAATAAGAGGAAGGAGAGCAGGAAGAGCAGCAGCACCAGACCCTATTCTTGAGGTGCCTAAAAAAATAGAGGAAGGAGCGCATGACGAGACGAGCAGCGCCAGAGCCTGCATTCCCAGCAGCACCTCCAGGGAGGGGGCTCGTGAAGGGTGGCGATGGGTGGTGACGGGTGGTGATGAGTGGTGATGGGTGGTGATGCGAACAGCATAAGTTGCATAACACAATATGGCATGATATCATTGTATAATTGGAACACGGAAACGCAGTGTGCTGTGGCATATGACTGAACATTGGAGAAGAAAGAATCCAGGTTTTAGAGCAAGCAAATCAAGTGGGGTCATGGCCATGGCAACATACCTGGAAGCAGTAACCCCCAACCTGCAGCAACACAAACAACCCTAGCAACGGAAGAGGGGATGGGATGGGGATGGCGGGGGGAGAGGGAGGGGATGGAGGTAACCCCCTACTTGGAGCCTCACAGCCCTACCCGGAGCCCCACAGCCCTACCTGGAGCCACACGACGACGGTGTGTTCCAGCGAGTCGATCGTCCCATCCGCCAGCACGTCCCTCAGCCTCGCATCTGCATGCATGTGCTCGGGCTGCCCAACCTTTGACACCCACCCACCTCGAGAATCAATTCACACTCAGGGCGCTTGCGAGCGAAGAGAGGAGAGGGAGGTGAGTCTGTGTGCGTGGGGGAAAGGGAAAGGGGGGGGGGGAGAAGGGTGTGTGGAGAGGGTAGTAAGCCCCTACCTGCAGCCACACGACGGTGTGTTCGAGCGAGTCGATCGTCCCGTCCGCCAGCACCTCCCTCAGCCTCGCCTCAGCGTGCGCTCGGGCCGGGCGGCAAACCTTCAGCTCCTTGTGGAAGCGCTCCCGCTCCGCCACCCACTCCTCATGATCATGCGCCGCCCGCTCGGCCGTGGCCTCAAGCTCCGAGAGGCGGGTAGCATTGGTGACCTGCGTGCGGTGGCGGCACGCTGTGGTGTTGGCCTCCAGGCCGCGCTTGGCGTGGTCGCATAGGGCTCGCTCCACCACCACCTCGCGCTCGCACACTGCACTCTCCTTGTTGCTCAACTGGAGTATGCGTTTGCGTTTGCGGGGGCAGGGGGGCGGGGGGGGGAAGGAGGGAGGCCACGAAGGAGATGGTGTGAGTGTGGTGTTGGCCTTGAGGCCGCGCTTGGCGTGGTCGCAGAGAGCCCGCTCCACCACCACCTCGCGCTCGCACACTGCACTCTCCTTGTTGCTCAACTGGAGTATGTGTTTGCGTTTGCCAGGGGGGGCAGGGTTGGGAGGGGAGGGGGGGGAGTAGGGAGGACACGACGGAGAGGGTGTGTGGTGTTGGCCTCCAGGCTGCACTTGGTATGGTCGCAGAAAGCTCTTTCAACTAGCACCTCCCACTCGCAGACTGCTCTTCCCTTGTTGCTCAACTGGGGATGGCTTGGAGAGCGGAGGGGACATATGAAACGGTATGGTGGCATTGGAGATGTTGGCTTCGAGGCCCAAGCATCTAGCTCCTCAAATCCTGGTGGCATCCAGCTCGCCGCGCAGCAGAGCTTGCTCCATGTCGCACTCGGCGCACACAAAATGAGTCTGCTCTTGAGTCCACTTAAACATCTTCAAACGCCAGATTTCAGCCAACCTTGATCTCGCAGGCGTCCAGCTCAGCGCGCAGCAGAGTGAGCTCCATGTCGCACTCGGCGCGCATCACCAGCCTCTCGCGGTCAAACTCCGACGCCTGCAGCTTGCGCGCCTTGTCACACTCCGCCTCCAGCTCCTGCGGTGTGTGTGTGGGATGGGGCGCAGGGGAATGGAATGGGGCAGCACAGAAAGGGGCAGGAAGTATGAGGCACATCAGACACAGCCTTCATACTTCATCGTCACATACTGCTCGTGCGCATCACCAGCCTCTCGCAGTCAAACTCCGATGCCTGCAGCTTGCGCGCCTTGTCACACTCCGCCTCCGGCTCCTGCGGTGTGTGTGTGGGATGGGGCGGGATGGGACGCATGGGAATGGAATGGAGCAGCACATGAAGGGGCGTCACGCATCAGGCAAGCAGCAGGCCAGCAGCAGGCACAGGCTTCATTCTTCATCGTCACATGCTGCTCGCATCACCAGCCTCCTCTACCGGTCAAACTCTGATCGTCTGACGCCTGCAGCTTGCGCGCCTCGTCACACTCCGCCTCCAGCTCCTGTGGTGTGCACCAAGGGGCGCATGGGAATGGGGCAGCACAGCTAGGGATGGGGATGCTGCTGGGGATGCATTGAGCAAGGAGCAAAATGCTCCTCCTCCTGCCAGCACTGCATCCACCCACTCCCCAAACCGCTAAGCAGGTTCTGGCACTTCCGTACATAACGATGTGCATAAACTCAACAAACACCCAACCTTGTCCTTGATGGCACTGCATCCACTCGCCAACCCAAATCAACCGCTGGCCCCTCTATAGTGTGCAATCAGCGGTATCCCGTGCCTAGAACACTGCTGCGAACAGCCCTGACCCCACCCACCCACCCACCCACCCGCCCACCTTCTCCTTGATGAGCTTCTCCTGACGGCACTGCATCCACTTCCCAAACCGCCCTGAGCCCACCCACCCACCCACCTTACATAGAACACTGCTGCGAACAGCCCACCCACCGGCCCACCTTCTCCTTGATGAGCTTCTCCTGGCGGCACTGCATCCACTCGCTGAACCGCTGGTCCCTCTCCAGCTTCAGCCGCTCGTGGTCCCTCGCCTTGCGCTCCGCGTCCTTCACCATCTCCTCGTACGCGTTGCCGCACCACCTGTGGGGAAAGGGAGGGGGAGGACAAGAGGGAAGGGAGTGGTGAGGCAAGAGGAACGGGAGGTGCAATCACTTGGTTCAACGCCTTGCGCTCCGCATCCTTTACCATCTCCTCGTACGCGGTGCCGCACCAGCTGATGGGGAAAAGGGGGACATAAGTGGCAGCACGAGGGGGTGGGAAGGGAAGTCACTGTCCGAGGCCCATTCAAGTGGTCCCTGGCCTTGCGCCCTGCATCCTTCACCATCTCCTCGTCGTACGCATTGCTGCACCACCTGACACGATCAAAGGGAAGAGGTGAGAGGGTGGAAAGACAAGACACTAGAGACAAGAAGAGCGGGAGTCAAAAGATCAAAAGAGCGGGAAAGAGGTGAGAGGGTGGAAAGACAAGACACTAGAGACAAGAAGAGCGGGAGTCAAAAGATCAAAAGAGCGGGAAAGAGGTGAGAGGGTGGAAAGACAAGACACTAGAGACAAGAAGAGCGGGAGTCAAAAGATCAAGTCGTCCCAACCCAACCGCCCTGCTGAAAAGCCCGTCAATCTATTCTCGAAAGGAAAGGAAGTCGACCCGTGAAAGGGTTATTCTGGAGTAGAAGGGAACGAAGGAGTCGATTACTAAAACGAACGGAAGTGACTTTTGAGTCGACTCAAAAGTCACCTCGTTAGAAAGAGTAGATTACTAAAACGAACGGAAGTATGCAAGGAATTGTTACCAGATGGCTAAAGCGGAGGGATGGAAGGAGACTCACGAGGAGAGGACCTTGTACACCGATGCTTCTGTGCCCGCCTCGTTGACAACTGGCCACGTCCACTTGGCAGCATCTGATTGGCGCGGACGGAGGGGTGTGGTTGGGGGGGGGCGGGAGAATGGGCAAGAAGTGAAGTGGAAGGGGTATGCTATCTCCAGGTTAATGGCCGCAAGGTTTGGCACTGCATTTGAGACGACTCAAAATGCTGCATTGCTGACGAACCTAGATATTGTCGACTGCAAATGTCAGCCATCAGCAGCAAGCAAGCGAGAGTAATAAGCGGGCTTTAAGAAGGTACACACCGATCCGACAGGTAATTTTCCGTCTGTTGAGAGCATAATTGTCTAGAATACCAGCAAACAGTTTACACTAACCTGCCAGGTAGTTCCCCGTCTTTCCGGAAATCGTCTCTTCCTCGTCATCGTCAGCAGCGGCCGAACAGCTCGTGAGAGCGCCGAGATACAGCAGCGCCGCTAACCCTAATGCCAGCCAGTCGCGCCGGCTGACCCGTGCTGCCATCTCGGCCCGCTGGAAGGCACGCACTTTGACCAATAGCCGTGAATATAGTATTTCAATTCCCTAGAAGAAAGCGGAAACCGTCTGTCTCGACCGGTACCGCAATAACTACTGTCCGGCCAATGTACGTGGATACGTGGTATGAGCTGAGAGGTGCCAGTGGACTGACGCCATGGCGCTGGTCTCCTTCGCTCAACCACTTTGACCTAATGTATCCCCGTTGTAAAGCCTTCAGCAAGCACAAAATGTACGCAGTGTTTTGCAAAACCCAGCTGGCAAAAATGGGAATATTCGCGTTGTGTCTTCATTTATTGCCATTATATATAATGTCACTATATAATGACGAGTATCATTTTACAGCTTTCCATATCAGTGGTTTTGAATATGGTATATTTGTAGAATTTATCAGTCCGTGCAAACTGCCTAAAAACTAGCATAAAAGGGCTGTTATGAATGGAACGAGAGAGTAGCGCGGAAGTGAATGTCGAGATCATGTTTGAAGTTCTGGTAATACAATGAGTGACGAGGCAATATATAGGAACCCCAAGCTAATATTAAATGTACGAAGAGATGCTTTGGGAAACAATCGAAGGGTAAAAATTCATTCTAAAGAGGTATGGAGATGAACCGAAGGTTCGGATCGAGAAGTTCTGACCGAAGCGTAGCTTCTTGAGGGTTTGAGTCGTGCTCACTGTAATGAGCTACATTAAGGAATACTAATTCCTTCAAAGGTGTAAGGAATTTTCCATTCCTTAGCGCGCCACACCGCTACCGCGTACACCAACCCCACACGGCACCGACATCTGCCCTAGCTTTGGCCCGAACACGGCACCGAACCATTTATGCATCACTCCGAAGCGCTCCGCGTCCTCGGATGCCTTCTACGAACCTGTTCGATCACGCAGCTAGGATTGTGCTGGTGTTCCTATATCTTGCTTCGTCATTCCATTGTACCACAATCTGTTATTCTAAACCTCGACATTTGATTCCGCGCTACTTTGATTAAACTCTCATAACATCTAGTATTCATAGCTACTTTCCTGACCTACCCGTTTCCGTAGGCGGAAAACCTTTTTCGAAGGGGGGGGGTGATTCGCTCATAGATCTGCAAACCGGTCGGCCGCGAATTAGACAAATTAATTCGCCCGACTACGATAGCGTTTGCGCTCTTACCTGAGCACGGGTAATCATGGATATTCCCCTACCCACCCAGCGTAGTATTCGCCATATGGACCAGAAACTGTTTGACGAGTTGATGGCAAAATTCGCTGCCACGAAGGCTCACCTGACAGCTGTGCTAAATGACAACGAAAAACTTCGCGTCGAAGTTACCGAACTTCGCCAGGCGTACGAGACTACGCGCCAGAATTCGCCCGCCCCTAAGGAAGCCGCCAGCACTGGACGTGTCGAAACAGTCTTGGACGAACTCGCACGCGAAGTGTCGTAGGAGTGCCGTGATGATGAAGGAGTAGCAGCAACACATGCCGCCGCACGTGCCACGGCAATTGCAGCAGATGCGACAACGGCCGCCGCCCGCTCCGAAGTAGCAGCAACAGTCTTTGCAGCAGTCGCAGCCATACCAACTATACTAGTGGCCAGGATAAAGTCGCCGATGCCGCCCCCTTTTAACCCCACTGACAAAAACACCACCATGACGGACTGGCTTTTTGCGATGGAGATGTATTTTGATGCTGTCGGGATTACTGTTGATGATTTAAAAATCAAACAGGCTGTTTCACTATTGAGGGGACCTGCACTGGATTAGTGGCGATCGACACTAAGTGAGATGGGGACTTCGGCAGGGAACACTCAGGGGTTTTTCGGGAGTCCAGAATCTGCTGCCCGGAAAGCGTGGGGTACAGCTCTGCATGAACGTTTCGAGCCCATATCCGCCTCGAAAAACGCACGCACGAAGCTGGACACCTGGCGCCAGTTGACCTCTGTCCAGGACTACGCGTCATCATTTCAGGCACTGTGCGACCAAATCATTGACCTATCAGAAGCTGAGAAAAAGAATCGGTTCATCGTTGGGCTCGAATCCGATTTTCGCTATGAAGTGAGGATGAGACACCCGTCAACGTTCCGAGAAGCCGTGATGATCGCCGACCAATACGACGCTAATAAAAAATATGTGAGATCGAGTTCCCAGAAGGGAAATCGTTTTCGTGGCCAGGATCAACGGCCCTCGATCAACGGCATAGTGACGAATGACGAGGATCACAGGAAGCGACAGACGGGTCACCGATATGCTGATTGCCTTGATCGGAAGCAGAGGAAAAACAACGATGGGGATAAGCCAAGAAACAATACCCGTCAGTAGCAAACGTGCCCCCTACTGACACGGCTGCATCGCCCGAGAAACTGCATCTCCACCGGGTAGTGGTACCGGTACATGCTATCGACTGCTCTTGGACGAATAACGGGGATGAACCCGAGGATCACCCTGCGCTAGTAGAAGAAAGGGTTGACGACAAAAAAAAAAAAAAAAAAAAATCTTCATCGATGGTGGTGCGAGCCACAGCTTGATTCACCGACCGACGACGAATAAAATAAACTTACCCTTGGAGCGGTGTCTGCCCGAGATCGATGCCCGATTGGTCGACTGCAGCCCGCTAGTGATAAGCGATCACGTGCGAACTATTCGCATGAAGTGTGGTGACAATTTCGGTTTCAGCGGGCCAATGCTAGCAATGACACTCGACGGCTACGATGTGCTGCTGGGACGAGATTGGCTTCGGCGACACAACCCGCAGATCGATTAGACGACAGGCGAGTGCACAGTCAAGTGTGCAAATGGTCGGCAGACACTGCAAAAATGGCGAGGAGCAGAGATGATAACGACACGCGTCAACGCCATTACGCTGACATGCGCGGTCAAGAAAGTCGCGGAATTATACGCCGTCCATCTGAAGGAATCAATGGACGACGGTCAACCGGCCGACATTGGTAAGCTCACGACCTATCACCTGGCCTACCACCAGAACGCCCTTAGGACCATCGGATCGAACTCGAACCTAGCGCGCAGCCAACTGTCCAGACACAGTGGCGCTGACGTTGCCCGAGCTCCAGGAATTACGGGACCAGCTGAATTATCTACTGGCCAAAGGGTTCGTTCGACCGAGTACGTCCCTGTTCGCCGCCCCGATCTTGTTCACACCCAAGAAGGATGGGGGCCTCCGAATGTGCATTGACTATCGTGCCCTTAATCGGGTTACGATTAAGTCTCGCTACCCAATCCCGCGTGCGGACGAACTGATTGACCAGCTGCGAGGCGCTCGCTATTTCTCGAAGATGGACCTTCGCGGCGGTTACCACTTGATTCGAGTCTTCGCCAACGATTGCGACAAAACCGTATCTCGTACTCGCTACGGAGTTACGAATGTTGTCATACCGTTCGGGTTAACGAATGCCCCCTTGACGTTCCAGCTGATGGTGAACCGACCATTCCGGGATCTACTCGATAAATGTGTGATCATTTATCTGGATGACATCCAGATTTGCAGTACGACACGGGAGCAGCACTTAAAGGACCTGGAAGCTGTTTTTCAGCGCCTGCAGCAGAATCGTCTCATCACCAAAGGCTCTAAGTGCGAGTTCTTAAAACCCGAACTGGAGTTTTTGGGGCACGATATTTCGACTGAAGGCGTGAAAATTGACCCTCGTAAAATTAGGGCAATGCAGGAGTAGAAGCCGCCGACCAACCTCATGGAGTTGCAATCGTTTTTTGGGTTCGTCAATTATGTGCGCCGATTTATCCCCAACATGGCGGGGTTAACTGGGGCACTAACTGACCTACTTCATAAGGGCACTGATTATCAGTGGGGAAGAAGTAGCAAGCTGTGTTTGACAGATTGCTGACCCAGAACGACCATTCGAGGTTGTGACAGACGGAAGTGACATTGCAGCTACATGATTTTGGTGGCGGCTTTCTGCCAATCGCGTACGCGACAGTCGGCCGAGCAAAATTATCCCGTACACGACAAAGAAATGCTGGCGATCATGCACCCATTCAAGATCTGGCGATGCTACTTGACGGGAGCCGATGTGACCGTACGAACAGATCACAAATCCCTACAGTACCTGCGCGCACAGCCAAATTTCAACCCGCGGCAAGTTCGCTGGTTGGATTATCTGGAGTCTAACTTCACGTATCAAATTACGTACAAGAAGGGTGCAAACAACATTGCCGACGCCCTCTCCAGACCATCTGCCCAAACCGCGGCTGTACTAATCGCCCAGACGAACCTGTTGCTGAGCGGACTACTTACCCACGGATATTCGACCGATCCCTTTTTCGTAAACAGCAGCAACCAGAAGGTCACGACCGCGAGGGGAGCCTATTACGTAAAAGCGGGAATGGAACGAATTTGGGTTTTGAGTTATTGTCTACTTCGCGAATGACTAATTCAAGAAGTCCACGATTCGAACTTATCGGGACATTTCGGGGTTGACAAGACTCTGAAGGCACTGCAGCGGTTTTATTACAGGCCCTACATGTTTTTGGATGTGCAAAAGTACGTGCACGTGCCCGACCTGCCAGACGATGAAATCATCACGCCAGCGGTCAGCAGGACTGTCGCAGCCCCTCGAGCCACCCCAGCGACCTTGGCAACACGTAACTATGGATTTTGTCATCGGCCTGCCGACTGGACCAAGTGGAAACAACGCGGTACTTGTCGTCGTCGACCGCCTCACGAAAATGGCTCATTTCGTGCCATGTCGCACGACGATCACAGCCAAAGTAACCGTGCACCTATACATCCCGGCCGTCGTTCGCCTGCATGGTATCCCTGCGGCGATGATCAGCGTCAGAGACATAAAATTCACCTCGCGCTTCTGGTAAGACACGTGGAATCGATAGGACACCTGCCTACTGTTCTCATCCGCCTATCACCCGCAAACCGACGGTCAGGCATAACGGACGAATCAGACCATGGAACAGTTGATTCCCACGAACTGCCCGGATATCAGCAAATGGGAAGATTCGCTACCCATGCTCGAGTTTCCATACAACAATGCACCCTTCGCCACAACCAATCATTCGCCCTGTTTCCTGAATAACAGGATGGATCCGGTCGTACCCATTTCCACCAACGTCGAAAGCCAAGTCCCCCGCTCGCAGCAGTTCATCGAAGACCTTCAAACCTCCCGCACGAAAGCCATCGAAGTTATCAGAAAAGCTAATGTCAGTGCCTGCCAATACGCTAACCGCCACAGACGAGATATGACCTTGACAGCAGGGAACCTAGTCCTCCTTGACACGAAAAACCTTCGCCTGCAGATACCGCCAAAACTCCGACCCCGCTACTGTGGACCATTCAAAATCATCAAGATGATAACGCCAGTGACCACCCAACTCCGCCTGCCGGACGATTGGAAAATTCATAATTCATTCCACGTTAGCCTCCTTCGTCCTTTTGTTGCCGACACGTCTAACGTCGTCCGACAGCCGATTGCCCAGGATCTACGGCCAGCCAAGGAGACGCTCATCGAACCCGCGAAGATCCCAAGACATCGCGTACGAATCAACGGTCAGGAGCGACACGTTGACTTTCTGATAGGATGGACTCATCGTACCAGCGAGGATGACACGTGGGTTCCCTCGGCACAAGTACAGTCACCTACTGTACTCCGGGATTATTAATCACGCAAGCGCGTCGCAAATATAGACCACCTTCGCTAGAGGGGGGTTAGTGTAAGGAGTTTTCCATTCCTTAGCGCGCCACATCGCTACCGCATACACCAACCCCACACGGCCGACATCTGCCCTAGCTTCGGCCCGAACATGGCACCGAACCATTTCCGCGTCACTCCAAAGCGCTCCGCGCCCTCGGATGCCTTCTACGAACCTATTCGATCACGCGGCTAGGATTTCTCTGGTGTTCCTATATATTGCTTCGTCATTCCATTGTACCACTCTTTGTCATTATGAACCTCGACATTAGATTCCGCGCTACTCTGATTAAACACTCATAACAAAAGGGTGTTATGAGGGGGAATGGAACAATCGACTAAGTAATGGAAATATAACCTAGGAGTAATAATTGATTCAGCAAGTGACGAGCGAACTGGCTAAAGTAGGGCTCGTACGTGCTAGGGCGAGAACCTCGGGACGTGATGTGGCTTGGAAGGGTGGCGAGGGTATCGGAACGCGAATCGGGGAGGTTTGGGCCAACAATATAGGTCGAACTTGCGAGGTCGAGGTCTTCGGGTGTACGCGCTGTAACTTAGCGCAGTAAGGAATGGAATTTCTTACACTCTCCCACCTTCTAAAGCAGCCCTCCCTACACTAGAGGCGATACTCTGATGGATTAATAATCCTATCGCGAGTGTGACTCTAGGTCTTGAAATCTTCTAATGAGCAGAATGATTACGCCGTCCTGACGTGTCTTGGGCGAGCTAAATCCAACGGCTGACATTGGTCGAGAGATGTCGTGACCGTTGGGCCGTTATCACAAGTCAGCAATGTTGGTGGTGAAACTGTCGAGGTTGATCTGATGGATATCTCCAAATCGATGACTTTAATTTGGCAAGATATTGCCGGATGGCAGAGGCTGTAGAACGTTGCATTCCCGCAGGCTTGTCATCATGACGCTTGTCTTGAAATCTCGAAAGTAATCGTGGCCGTAAATCTTGAGTAACGATCGGATGATCGGAAGTTGTCAAAACGATAGTAGTAGATCGTGGCCATTGAAGGATGGTCGATTACTTGGCTGACCAAATTGGGCAATGGTGAAAACTCTTGCGGGCGAACAAAACGTGATGCTGTAGGCTGTCATTTGGTGATGACAAAATTGCAGAGGACGAATGCAGTGTAGCTGCACCTCTCCCCCCCTCCTCCAAGAAGAAAGAGCGTCTCGAAATAAGGTAAACCTCCAGGTAATTCACTGCTCCAGGGTATGCGTAAAATACCCTAACTGCGACATAAACTCCGGTAAAATTCAGCGTCGAAGAGGTCGGTGAAACTTCAACGGGTAGAACTCCCAATTCAGCTCCAAAGTTGAATTCCTCTGCAGGGCAAACCGCTTCGGAAGTCTTAAAAATCAGCAACTATTGCTCCAGAAATAACTCCTAGACGAACTCGAAAATCTTCACGAGTCAATCCACTGCTTGCGAGCTGGCCCCAACACAGCTCCAACAGTTTTGCTGCCAAATCTCAACGATTCGATACTGCTCCAGGCGGATGGCGGGGTCGTGTTCTATATAGTGAACGAAGGTAGGCGAATTGACGATGGAGGCAGTAGCGGGTGTTGGCAAGAGGTTGACGACGATGGCGATGGAAAATTACCTGTCCAGACCCGATCCAATAAACACCCTCAAGCCTAACCCAGTGTCCCACGACTGCAACTCCGTTTTGTCCGTAGATGCCGAAATTTTCGGAAAGAGCCGAAACAGCTGCTGCTCCTTCATTCTCCATGAAACCTAACTACTCCGCAAAAATCGGATTATGTCGCTCGTACCCCTAGATATAGAGGGCACCACGCGAGCTGCAAAACCTTGAACTGCCTCACAGTTATTCCAGCGAAAATGTCGGAACTTCTCCCGTAACTTAACAAATACCGCAACCCCGCTTCACAGCTGCACGTGCTTCGCAGCTACCCGTAAACACAAACGCGCCGTCCTTTAGCTGGAAACCCATCGGTCCGTCACCAGCTGTACGCATGAACTGAGCCCTTCAATCAAGGGTACTCGTCGTTCACCGCCCCGGCATGGGTCTTTGGCCGTCGATCATGGCTGGCGAGCATCATACGTCGTCGATCTCCTCACAGCTGTAACCCAAACTCTTAAAATACCCGGAAACCCCTGAACCAGCTGGCCTTGCAGACGTTCACCCATCTCGCGGCTGCTGCAGGTTACCCAAAACCGCTTCACTCCTGTTCAGGTACCCCCAAACTTGAGGTGCTTAACTGCTGCGCCGCTGGTTTTCGAAGAATTCCCCATCTGGTACTAGGCGTTTTTGCAGCGAGCCGACATTCACCCATCTTTGCGTTTGCCATGACACCAAACAAGTCCTAGGCATTATCGCGCATCGTAGTAGCCCGTGTAAATCTGGGACAACTCCCTCCACTTAGCCGCACTCCGAAAACTTCGTATACAATGTCGAGCTCCAGCTGCAACAGTGTCGACTTCGAATCTTTCTTCACGACTTCCCCGACATTTTCGGCAGGTCGTCGTTCACCCAACTTCTCGCTTCTGTCGGTAAATAAACAGCGGTAAAACCGTAATCCGGGGCAGGACGGAGCAAAAGCTAGCACGCATGCCTTTAGTCAGTGGAGCAAAAATATTAACTCCCAGCCAACCGTTGCGCAGCCGTGCAAATCCCCTCTGATACCACGAATTACCCCTCTTTTGTTTTGTAGCAATCCATTGTCGCACCCTTCGTCAGCACAGGACGAATATGGCTTATTCCCCTCTTTTTCAGCCTGGAGCCTCTAACCTTGTAGTTGTCGCAACCAGGTGGGGGACTTCGGACGGTTGGCAAAGAACCCCAACAATAGGTGGTCGATTTCGCTACTGACTCACAGCAAAGCCACTTCCACTGGGTCCTCGGCCACCGCCGTCCATCTTCCGCTAAGTTTCCAAAACCGCTTCCACTCGATGACTCAGGGGGACGCATTGATGTTGCTCCATAAACTGTAGGAACTATGTTGTTGCGCCCGTACTTTCTGTTTCCTTCAGGGGCAATGGTTGTTTCCTCGAACATGAGTTTCCCCTCCGATTAGGTGAAAACTCTGCTCAGCATGGGAGAACAGAATTGGCGGCCCTCCGTGAAGGTCGGCTGCCAATTGATGACGATTTTGTCGGTGAAGATCTCCGTAGCTGCTGAAATCCAGTCAATTAGCCGAGGGTTGCAAGATCCGAGTTTTTTCGGAAGTTGGCACCCGCGCCGTTCTCTTCCCATAAATCTCCTGCCGGAAATACCGGAGCAACGAACAGGACGTCACCTACACTCTTGTACTCCTGTGTACTCCTGACGGCCACAATTCCCTGACGTTTCCTTGAGGTTGCCGCGCGACAAGAAGGCTCGTTTTTCTTGTTATTTTACTTCAACCGTTGTCGCAGCCGTCCGACAAACTCGCTTTAGAATCTTGTCAGGTGCTGCTGACGACGCATGTTTGTCACACAAAAACCACCGAAATAAAATGCACTATTGACCAATGCACGTAGTGAATAAATGTTGTGACAGCCACAACTGCCGTTCCTTGGGGGGAGGGAGGACCAGACCAAATCATGGCTGTCCAAAGGCAGGGTCTGGTGACGAAGGGAGCGCACACGCCTTAGTCGGACGAGGTAACAAATTAGCTCCAAGCCAACTGCTGTGCAGCCCCGCGGCCCACCAGCCATCCCTCCTTCCCCCCCCCCCAAGAAAATTCTCGGGCAAGCGGAAGCTACTGCGCGAGGAAAGTGGCTCTGAATACCAAGTTTTATGAGTGGGAATGGAACAATCGACTGAGTAATGGAAATACAACATAGGAGTAATAATTTATTCAGCAAGTGATGAGCGAACTGGCTAAAGTAGGGCTCGTACGTGCTAGGGCGAGAACCTCGGGACGTGATGTGGCTTGGAAGGGTGACGAGGGTGTCGGAACGCGACTCGGGGAGGTTTGGGCCGACAATGTAGGCCAAACCTGCGAGGTCGAGGTCTTCGGGTGTACGCGCTGTAACTTAGTGCAGTAAGGAATTGTAATTCCTTACAAAGGCTGTTATTAATGAACAAGCAGAGTAGTGCAGAAATGAATAACAAGTGTTCAATTACTGAATGACAATACTAGGAAGGGCAAGCCAAGATATGGTAACACCAGAGCTAATCAAACAATGAGATGGGAAGGTTTGGGAAAGAGATCGAAAGGTCTCGAAGTGACGATGCGAGGCCCGGAGAACTCCCGAAGGACGAACTAGAAGGTCTGGAGAAGCCGAGGCGGTTCTAGTCAGAAAGGCCCGGAACCGTCCCGAGGCTTCGGGTGTGTTTCGAGCGTATGCGATAGCAGTACCGCTCGGTAAGGAATGGAAATTCCTTACAAAGGCTATCACATATAACACCCTTGCTTGCCAAGTAACAGGCGATATTGGAACCTATTGGTATTGTAAGGAATTTTATTCCTTATCGGGTTGTACTGCAATCGCGTACACCCGAACTCTCGGAACACCAGGCTCGGTCCGTTTCCGACGCGACCCCGAGGCACGCCCGCGCCGCCTCCGATCTTTTCGACCGCGCCTGTACCCAACCTAGCCCTCCGGCTTCGTCGCCTAGCTAGAGCCCTCGCTATATAATGCTAGGCTAGCATTCTTGTACTCGTCATTATTATTCCGCGCACTCTCAGTTATTATTCATAACATGTGGTATCAGAGCTACTTTCTTGGTTCACCCCGCTTTCTCAGGGTAGTTTATTTCCCAGGCGTGGTTAACCCTGCGGGGTTGCAAAGCGGTTGTTCGTGAGCTAGAGTTACGGCTTGTAGAGAAATAAACTCATCGTTATTAGCTAGAGGTCATGGCTCAGATGCAGGCAATGCAAGCCCAGATGGCGAGTTTGAACAGTGAAGTCGTGAGACTTCGGACAGAAAACACCGAGCTTCGCCAGACGCGTGGTGAAGCGCGTCAGGAGTCGCCTGGAGTCGCCGAAGACGAGGTCAAACAAGGTGCCGACGACGCAGCGAGCGAAACCGTCCTTGACGAGCTCGCACGGGAGTTGGAGCAGGACGACGTGCGAACTGTGACTGTAACGAAGATTAAACTCAAGCCAGCAACTCCGCCCCCGTTCAACCCGTCGGACAAGGCAACGACGGTGCAAAGGTGGCTGTTCAGCATGGAGCTGTTCTTCACGGCGGCAAGTGTGCATACGGATGACGTGCGCATTAATTATGCCGTGTCGCTGCTCCGAGGACCGGCGTTGGATTGGTGGCGACGACAGTTGGCGATTGGGACTCCGGCAGGAGTGAAGCAGGCGAAGGACGGGACTTCGGACGCTTCAAACCAACAGGCAGAAACAATATTCGGTACGACCATGATTCGCACGTGGAAACAGTGGGGCACAGCTCTGCGAGCTCGTTTTGAGCACTCATCCGCCTCAGATGACGCTCGCATGAAGCTGCGCAAATGGCGGCAGGTGACTACTGTTCAAGATTACACTGCGTCGTTCTCGGCACTTGCGGACCAAGTCGACGACCTCAGCGAAGCGGAAAGGCGGGACAAATACGTTAGCAGGCTGCATTTCGATATTCAGTACGAGTTGCAGCGGTCCCGTCCCAAGACGTTCGATGAAGCTGTCCAGCTGGCGTTAGCAGCCGATGCACTGCAGCAGTGGGCGAGAAAGAACAATAGGGATGTTGGTCGTTTTCGTGGACAGTCTCCCCGCCTCACGATCAATGGCGTGTCAGCGCCCGATGAAACATTTCATGGGCTATGTTATCGATGTGACAAGCCAGGTCACCGAGCTAAGTACTGCCCGACGGCGCCCAAGAAGACGAAGAACGACAAGGAGAAGCCGGGAAATGGGAAAAGTCAGTAGCAGACGGGCCCCCTACTGACGAGGCTTTGTCGCCCGAACTTCAACATTCCCACCAAGTTGTGGTACCGATACACGCTATCGACCGCACTCGGACGAATAACGGGAGCGAACCTGAAGATCACCCTGTGCTGGTCGAAGGCAAGGTTAACGGCAAAAAAATAAAATTATTTGTGGATGGCGGAGCTAGTCACAGTCTCATACACGTAACAACGGCGAAGCAGTTGAAGCTGACGTTGGAAAAATGTCTTCCCGAAATCGACGCGCGACTGGTGGACGGAACTCCACTTGCAATTCGAGAACGAGCGCGCATGGTGCGGATGAAGTGTGGCAACGACTTCGGTTTCAGCATGCCCATGCTGGCCACGACGCGGGACGGCTGCGACATTCTGCTTGGGCGTGATTGGCTGCAAAAATACAACCCGAGGATTGACTGGACAACTGGCGAATGCAGCGTGCACTATGCGAACGGGTGGCGCGTACTTCCGAGCTGGCGTGGGAGGGATCCGGTGTCGACACGTGTCAACGCCATCACCCTCCAGCGAGCAGTTAAAAAAGGAGTTGATCTGTACGCCGTCCACCTGGCCGAAGCGACGGTCGATGATACGTCAAAGGACATTGACACACTATGTGCCAATGTCCCTGTAGAACTAGCCACGTTAATTCGACGGTACCCGGATATTTTTCCGGACGACCTGCCAGCAGGGTTGCCACCCGAGCGCCCCCAAGACCACAAAATTGACCTGGAACCCGACGCGCAGCCTACAGTCAGGACCCAGTGGCGGCTGACACAGCCCGAACTCACGGAGTTGCGGAGCCAGCTGGACTACCTCTTGGAGAAGGGGTTCATTAGGCCCAGCACGTCCCCGTTCGCGGCACCGATCCTGTTCCCGCCAAAGAAAGACGGCGGGCTGCGAATGTGCATCGACTACAGGGCGCTGAATCGGCGAACCATTAAGTCTCGCTACCCAATCCCACGCGCGGACGATCTTCTCGATCAACTTCGCGGAGCTCGCTTCTTCTCGAAAATCGACTTACGCGGCGGTTACCATCAGATCCGAGTCTTCGCTGACGACTGCCACAAGACGGCGTTCCGCACCCGATATGGCAGCTACGAGTACACCGTGATGCCGTTTGGCCTCACGAACGCACCCTCCACTTTCCAACTCACCATGAATGGCGTATTCCACGATCTCCTCGACAAGTGTGTCATCGTCTACCTTCATGACATTCTGATCTACAGCAAGACACAGGAACAGCACCTCAAGGACCTCGAGCAAGTTTTCCAGCGGCTGCAAGAAAACCGCCTCATTACGAAGGGCTCTAAGTGCGAGTTCCTCAAATCCGAACTAGAATTTTTGGGACATGTAGTGGGAGCGGACGGCATCAAAATCGACCCGAAGAAAATCACAACGATTCGCGACTGGAAGCCGCCGACGAATTTACAGGAGCTGCAGAGTTTTCTTGGGTTCGTTAATTACGTCAGGAGGTTTATCCCCAATATGGCAGGGATAACCGGACCGTTAACTGACCTGCTGCGGAAGGGCACTTTGTTTGAATGGGGGGAGAGACAGCAGACTGCTTTCGATGAACTGCGAAATTTTCTGACGTCGCCCCCGGTCCTCCGAATCGCCGACCCATCTCGACCGTTGGAAGTCTTGACGGACGCTAACAATTTCGCCATCGGTGCGATACTGTTACAAGATTTCGGCGAAGGACTCCAACCAATCGCGTATGAGTCTAGGAAGTTGCAGGCAGCCGAGCGCAACTACCCCGTCCACGACAAAGAAATGCTCGCCATCGTGCACGCATTCAAGGTGTGGCGATGCTACCTGACGGGAGCCGACGTGACAGTACGGACATACCATAAATCCCTACAGTACCTCCGCGCGCAGCCGAACCTCAATCCACGGCAGATTCGCTGGCTGGACTTCCTCGAAAGCAACTTCCACTACACCATCACGTACAAACGTGGGGCGAATAACCTCGCCGACGCACTGACAAGACCATCCGCCCATCTCGCCTCCATCATCATTGCGAAATCCAACCCACTGCTCACCGGACTATTTACCCACGGCTACAAAACCGACCCCTTTTTCACCCGCAACCTCCACCAACAAGCCACCACAGCCAAAGGACCCTACTTCCTAAAAGCCGGTATTGACCGTATCTGGGTTCCCGCCTACAGACTCCTCCGCGACTTACTTATTCAAGAAGTCCACGATTCTAACCTCTCCGGTCATTTCGGGGTTGACAAAACCCAAAAGTTACTTCACCGTTTTTATTATTGGCCTGATTCGGCGTCTGATGTGCAGAGATACGTATCTGCGTGCCCGATCTGCCAATGAATGAAGTCTTCTCGACAGCGGCCAGCTGGACTGCTGCAACCGCTCGAGCCACCCCAGCGACCGTGGCAACATGTGACGATGGACTTCGTCACGGGGCTCCCGGCTGCCGCCACGGGCAACGACGCCGTCCTGTTCGCCGTCGATCGTCTGACAAAGATGGCGCATTTCGCACCCTGTCGCACAACAATCACAGCCGAGGATACCGCGAAACTTTTCATCTCCACCGTTGTTCGTTTACACGGCTTACCATCAGCGATCATCAGCGACCGCGACCCAAAATTCACGTCCAAGTTCTGGCAAGAGACATGGGCCCAGTACGGCACACGCCTCCAATTTTCCTCCGCCTACCATCCTCAAACCGACGGCCAGACCGAGCGAACCAATCAAACCATGGAGCAGCTGATACGCTCCAACGGCCCTGATCCTGCCCAGTGGGAAGAATCCCTGCCCATGCTGGAATTTTCCTACAACAATGCCCCATCGGCTACGACCAATCACTCGCCATATTTCCTAAATTACGGGATGGATCCGACCGTCCCGACGACTACCCACATCGACAACCCCGTGCCACGTTCCCAGCAGTTCGTGACCAGTTTGCAAGCTGCCCGGGATAAAGCGATCGAATTCATTCGCAAGTCCAACACAATCGCTCGACGCTATACATACCTCCATCGCCGCGATATCACAATGACTGCCGGGCAACTAGTCCTTCTCGACACGAAGAACCTTCGCTTGCCCCTGCCTTCAAAACTCCGACCGCGATTCTGTGGCCCTTTTCGTATTGTCAAGATGGTGACACCTGTCACCGCGAAGTTATTACTCCCGGACGAGTGGCGTATTCACGACGCCTTCCACGTCAGCCTGCTTTGTCCCTACGTCGCCAGCACGTCTGCAGTCGCACGACCAGCGGCCGCCCCCAGTGTCCGCCCACTAGCTGAACCGACCCTTGCGCCTTTCCGACTTTTGAGTCATCGCGTTCGTCTCGACTCCACAGGACGACACGTGGATTTTCTAGTCCGCTGGGTTGACCGTACAAGCGAAGACGACACCTGGGTCACTTCCGACTCGCTTCAGGCACACTCGGTGCTCAAATCTTATTTGACCCGAAAAGGCGTTCCCGATATTGATCACCTTCCTTAAGGGGGGGGGGGGGGTAGTGTAAGGAATTGTTTTCCTTACCGGGTTGTACTGCAATCGCGTACACCCGAACTCTCGGAACACCAGGCTCGGTCCGTTCCGACGCGACCCCGAGGCACGCCCGCGCCGCCTCCGAACCTTTCGACCGCGCCTGTACCCAACCTAGCCCTCCAGCTTCGTCGCCTAGCTAGAGCCCTCGCTATATAACGCTAGGCTAGCATTCTTGTACTCGTCATTATTATTCCGCGCACTCTCAGTTATTATTCATAACAGGTATGGAGACAGAAACGAAACAGACAGGCCCGCACGCAAGGTGTGCCGAGCCGAGGCTGACTAGTTGGCATGACACGGCAGACCGAGACTCGCCGCACCCATTGGTCAAATATCGCGCGGCGGCAGCTCATATCAGCCACTGCCCCTTTGTTACGTTTCCGAACCACGAGGCATGACTGGATGGTGGGTGGTCCCCCCCCTGCCAGCCTGGCCTCGATTTTGATCAAAGCAGCCGCGGCGATAAGGGGAACATGAGATGTTGATGCAACAGGCTTGTTTATCCTTGTTGCTTGGCAAATAAAGCAACCCATATCGCGGATAGCGTGCTCCCTCCCGTCCCGCCTTCCCCTCGCTCTTCGAAGGGCCAACCTGCAAGGCCAAGGCGTTCTTTCGGTTAGGGTTTGAGTAGAGTTGCTCTTCACTGTGAGTGATTGGTCGGCTCACCTTCCACGTTTCCACCACTGCTGTGTCGCTCTCGTGCGAACGCTACATGCGAGCTTCATCTGCTTTTGCTGCTGCTGCTGCTTGTTCGTTTCGCCTCTGCTCCCGCTCGCTCGTCCCCTGCGCTGCAGAAGCGGCGTGTAGTGCTGTACGTACGAACCGAACCGAACCTGGCCCGTTATCCCATGGCAGATCACCCCGCCCCACCTACCTCATCTCCCCTCGACCACACTTTACCCGCGTTTCGTGCCTAGCGCGTGGATGTCCAGCTAAGCTCGCGCGCGTCTCGATCTAGTTATCAGTAACACCGTGATCCTCGTTATGGATTTCTTCGGCGCGACTATACGTCATCCATTAGCACCGCCTACCGCCAGCCAATCCCTCCCACCAGGCACCACTCTCTCTCGTCCCGATGCCTTCCCGCTAACCGCACCGTCATGGCTCGAACAACCCCTTCAGCAGCAGCAGCAGCAGCTGCAGTCGCAGCTTCAGGAACAGGCGCTGCTGTCGCAATTAGGTCACGACCAGGCGTTGCAACTAGCTCAGTTGCATCAGATCCAGTCGCGCTCCTTGGCCTCTTCCTTAGTCGCATCCGCTCCGCAGAATTTCCTCCGCGACTTGCAGCTGCAGCGGCAAATAGATGAAGAATCGCGCATCTTGGCGCTTCAGCATCAGCAGCAGCAGCAGCATCAGCAACAGCAGCAGCAGCAGCAGCAGCATAACATGGCTCTGTTGCAGATGCTGATGGAACGACAGCAGCAACAGCAACAGCAACAGCAACAGCAGCAGCAGCAACAGCAGCAGCAGCAGCAGCAGCTAGCCGCGGCGTCTCAGTTTCAGGATTCGCTTCTTCACCAGCACCAGCACCAGCAGCAGCAGCAGCAGCTGGAGCTGCTGCGTCAGTCGCAGCACCCGCTAGGATCAACAACGTCAGCAGCGGCGTCGGCAGCTTTAGCCACAGCAGCCTCCGCAGCGATGCAGCTCGGCCAGGAGGCCAGCACCGGCGGGCTCCTGGCGGCTGCGGCTGCTGCGGCTACTGCTGCTTCGGCAGCCGACGGCATGTGGAGCGCGCAGAACGCGCTGAACCAGCCGCCGAAGCAGGGGGTGCTGGATTCAGCGCGCCAGCAGCAGCAGCAGCAGCAGCAGCCAGAGCATTCGCAGGCTCAGCAGCAGCAGCGGGCTGCATCGCCCTTGCGGCATCTAAAGCAGGAGACGCACTCACTCGGAGCGAAGCAACGCCATCGGCAGCATCAGCAGCAGCAGCAGCAGCAGAAAGCGAAGGCGCATCACCTCCAGCAGCAGCCAGTGCAACAACATGAGAAGCAGCTATCCCTCCCGGGAAATTCCGTCCCACGATCCCCACACCTCCAGCCGCCCTCCCCCCCAGCGACCAGCAGCTCCGTTGCCTTGACTCGGACAGACGGTTTGACACCAACAGAAGGGACAACCGCAGCAGCAACCCCGCCACTACCACCAGCAGCTGCAACATCAGCACCAGCACGAGGGGCAGCAGGGCCGATCCCAGCAGCAGCAGCAGCAGCAGGAGACGCGGATTTTCTGGAGATCCCTGCTTTTCCGGGGCAGCCAAGCGGCGACCTGTTTATCAGCGGAGGGCCGACGAGTTCCGCCCTCATGGGGTGCCCCGACTCCCCCAACTTCGTCTCGCTGCTCTCCATGTTCTCCACGCCCCACCCCCTCACCTGCTCCGCCTCCCTCGCGGACGGCCACGAGGCGTACGAGCAGCAGGAGGATTCCAAGTCCGGGGTGCTGGGCAGGGGCGCGGGCGGGGGATGGGGCGGTGGAAGGGGGGCGGGCGGGAGGGGAGGCGCGGGGCCGCTGATGTGCGCGCCGCCGAGGAATGTGCTGCAGGTGGCGGGGGGTGCGGGCGCGGAGAGGGTTCCGGGGCTGAAGGCGCGGATAGACAAAGCGCTCAGGAGCATCTGCCAGGTACCTATCGGGGGGCGGGGGCGGGAATGGGGGAGATAGGAGTGTAGGGCGTATGCGTTGGGGCATGCATGGGGGAGAGTGGACTGGGGGAGGGCATGTGCCTAGCGGTAGTGGTAGACGAAGAAGTAGAAGACTATATGGAAGAATATGTGCTTCCATTCCATACCATTCCATTCCATTCCATACCATACCATTCCATTCCAATCCATTCCAATCCATTCCAATTTCCACCAACCCCTTTCCATTGCTTGCTGGCGCAGGTGTGGTTCCCCACGTGGCACGACGGGCAGGGGGTGCTGAGCATTTGATACCAGTCCGTCCAGCCCTTCCCTTTAATCCTGCCTGCGCCCTCCCATCCCCTCCCATCCCTTCCCATCCCCTCCCATCCCCTCCCATCCCTTCCCATCCCCTCCTACCGTTTACGTGCAGACCCGGGGCGATCTGTTAGCACAGGTGTGGTTCCCCACGTGGCACGAGGGGCAGCGCGTGCTGAGCACGCGCGACCAGCCGTTTGTGCTGATGGAAGGCAGTGAGAAGCTTCGCGTCTACCGCACCATCTCCACCAAGTGAGTTGCATTCCCATCCACTGGTTGGGTTTGGTGCTCGCATCATGTGCTCGCATCATCCAAAGGGGGTCAGCATCATCCAAAGGGGGTCAGCATCAGACATGCCTGTGGGTGGGTGCGAGTGTGTGTTCTCATCCCGCCGTTCCTCCCCCCCCCAAGCCTCCGCCCCTTTCCCCCTTGTCCCCCCCTCGCCTCGCACCCCCTTCCCCCCAGCTACACCTTCCCCCTGTCTCGCCATGCCGGTTATCTAGGGTTACCAGTCCGTGTGTTTGTGTCCGGTAGATAGACCCGAGTGGACCCCCAAAGTGCAGGACCCCATTCATGGTTCACGCTCCTCTCTACCCTCTCTTACTCCCCCCCACCCCACCCCACCCCAGCTACACCTTCCCCTTGTCGCGCCAAGCTGGTTACTCAGGCCTGCCTGGCCGCCTTTGTGTCTGGTAGGCCGCGGAGTGGACGGACCCCCCCCCCCCCCCCAACGTGCAGTACTACTCCTCCGCGCCTACCTCAGAGTACACACTCGTATGTTTCCTCCCTCCTCCCCCAACTTTCCCCCGGCCCAGCTACACCTTCCCTTTGTCACGCCAGGGTGGTTATCTCGGGTTACCAGGGCGAGTGTTCGTGTCCGGGAGACCGGAGTGGACGCCCAACGTGCAGTACTACTCCAGGGACGAGTACCTGAGAGTCGCCCACGCCACCCGCTGCAACGTCAGGGGGGCGCTTGCTGTGCCTATCTTTAGAGTTCTGGGGAAGACGGAGGGGGGGAAGGGGCGGAGGGGGAAGGGGGAGAGCGGGGAAGGGGGTGGGGATAGCTGGGGGACGGGGAGCAGCGGGAGTAGTAAAGGCGAGAGGGAGTGGGAGGGGGAGGGGGAAGAGGGGGAGAGTGGGGGGAAGGTGATGGTGGTGAGAGGAGGTGGGGAGCGGAGAGGGAGGAGGCGGCAGGAGCTGGTGGCGGTGGTGGAGATGGTGATGATGGGCGAGGACGTGCGCTTCGGGCCTCAGATTGATGCTGTGTGCAATGCGCTACAGGTGAGCCACAGAGTGTTGCTGGGTGCTGTGCGGTGCAGAGGTGTACTTCTGTTTGAGTCAACTCAGAGGCAGGAGCTGGTGGCAGCGCAGTGGTGGAGGTGATGATGATGGGAGAGGATGTGCGCTTTGGGCCGCAGATCGATGCGGTGATGAGAGGTGTGCAGAGGGGTAGATGGGCATGTGTGGGTTTCCAGAGTGTTGCAGAGGGGTGCAGGGAGGTTGTGCACAGCTCTCAATCCAAAGCTAGTTCCATTTCTCCTCCTCAATGTTCACATGTGTTGCCCCCTTCCAGTGGTCTTGCCCTTATCTCCCTTCACCACATGCCATGCCTTTCTCCCTCTCCCCTCTCTCCCTCTCCCTGGCCCCCATCGCAGACTGTGGGTCTCACCAGCCTTCGCGCCTGGGAGTCTATTTTTGTGGCGCCTCAAAAATAGACTTCACCGCATATCATGCCGTGCCTTGCCCTCTCCCTGCCCCCATCGCAGACTGTGGACCTCACCAGCATTCGTGCGTGGGACCATCTGCCAGCAGAGGTGTGTTCTTAGGGCGCGTGGCAAGTATGATCGGAGGGACCCTTCGCTCCCATCGTCTGATCGTTTACCTCTGTACCCCTCTCTAAACCTTTTGAAACGTACAAAAGCGCAATGAACCTAGTTGTACCTGACCTCGGGCCGGCCCCGTCCCATCGTTTTGACTTCTACTTGCCACACACCCTTGGGCCTTCATTGGGGGCAGAAGGCCCAACAGAGGTGGGCTTTAAGGCAACCTGAAGGCCCAACAGAGGTGGGCTTTAAGGCAACCTGAAGGCCCAACAGAGGTGGGCTTTAAGGCAACCTGAAGGCCCAACAGAGGTGGGCTTTAAGGCAACCTGAAGGTCCAGCAGCAGTTGACAATGGTTCATTCTGGTTTCATTCCTACTGGGCCCCAAGCCATTGATTTGTTGATAATGTTATAATTGTGAATAACCCCTCTTCGCATCTTGCCTACCGTCCGTTCCACCCACCCACACCATTTTCTCGTCGTTCCACGGATGCGCCTCCCGGGTCGGGGGGCAGTACTAACGGAGATCCACGAGGTGCTCTCTACGCTCTGCGACCAGCACTCACTGCCCCCCACGTCTCACACTCCCCTTCCCTTGCGCCTGCTTCCTCCCCTCCTTTCCAGATGCCCTTCCCCGGCCGGGGGGCAGTTTTAACGGAGATGCATGAGGTGCTCTCCTCGCTCTGCGACCATCACTCCCTGCCCCTCACGTCTCTCCCCTTTTCCCGCTCATAACCATTTCCTTTCAGATGCCCTTCCCCGGCCGGGGGGCAGTATTAACGGAGATCCACGAGGTGCTCTCCTCCCTCTGCGACCAGCACTCGCTGCCTCTCGCCCAGACCTGGATCCCCTCCTCCTGGGTGCGCCTCATCGACCCTACTGCCGAACCTGCCACCGAAGCTGGCCGTTCCGGACCTGCGGCTCAGGGCCAGGCTCGGGTGTGCCCCGGGCCGGTAGGGGCGAGCATGCGGAGCAGTGCAGGCGTGGGGTTCAGCATGAGGCGAGAGGGGGCGGGGCGGGGGAAGGAATCAGTAGACGTGGCAACCGTACAGGAGGATGTGTTTGAGGTGCTTCCCATGGGGGGTGGAGGAGAGGGAGGAGGAGGAGGAGGAGGAGGAGGAGGAGGAGGAGGAGGAGGAGGGAGTGGAGGAGGGGGAGGAGGTGGGGGAGGAGGTGGAGGAGAGGGAGGGGAGGAAGGGGAGGAGGAGGAGGCAGTGACGCTGTTCACAGCGGACATGCCGAGCTGCGTGGCGGACCTGCGCATGTGGGGCTTCCGCCAGGCCTGCTGCGAGCACCAGCTGCAATCCGCCCAGGGCTGCCCGGGCCGAGCCATGGCGTCCAACGCCCCGGCCTTCTGCGACGACCTGCAGCAGCTGACGAAAGAGCAGTACCCCCTGGTGCACTATGCCCGCATGTTTGGCCTGCGCGCCGCCGTTGCGATCCGGCTCCGATCGGTTTTGAGCAAAGATATGGACTATGTGCTCGAGTTTTTTCTGCCGCCGGGGTGCAGGGAGAAGGAGGCGCAGCAGCAGCTGCTGACGCGGCTGAGCCAGAGCATGCAGGAGGCTTGTAGGAGCCTGAGGACCGTGACTGTGGAAGAGATGTCCGGGAGTAGGTCCGGAAGGAGCGGCAGCAGCCGAGACACGGTGTCAGGCTCGGGAACCGGAGGTTCGGGAGCGGGAGTTTCGGCGATGGGAGGCTCGGTGATGGGTGGTGTGGGGGGAGGGGCGGGTGGAGCGGGATGGGGGAGGAGTAAAGGGAAGGGGGTGGTGGGAGAAGGGGTGTCGGAGGGAGGGAGTGTGGTGAGGAGTGTGGGGGGGAAAGGAGCGAGGGAGGGGGGCGGGACTCCTGAGAAAGGGGGTGGAGATGTGAAGAGGAGGAGAGTGGAGGGACGAGGGAAGGGGGGAGGGGCGAAGGCGTGTGGGGGTGAAGGTGGGGGTTTGGGCGAGAAAGGTGCAGGGGAGACTGGAGCAGGTGAGACTGGAGCAGGTGAGACTGGAGCAGGTGAGACTGGAGTGGGTGAGAGCAGTCCCTTTGAGGCAGCAGCCATGGCTGAGCTATGTGAAGATTCCACGGTCCTGCCACTGGCTCACAGTGCGGCACTTGGCAATGGCACTGCTGACGTGGCGCTTGGTAATGGCGCTGCTGACGTGGCATTTCAAATGGGAATTGGCCCTGCGGCGCTGGGAGGAGCAGGAGTGGCGGTGGGGCTTGGAGGGAGTGGGTTGGGGTGCGGAGAAGGGGGGCAGCATGGTGGGGGCATGGGGAATGGTGGGGGCATGGGGAATGGTGGGTGCATGGGGAATGGTGGGGGCGATTTGAGTAATGGTGGTGGGGCCATGCCTGACGGTGGTGGAGGTATGGGAGGTGCATGGGTTGAGGGTGCTTTCTCCGGCCAACAGCAGCAGCAGCAGCAGCAGCAGCAGCAGCAGGGGCTTGTAGGAGTGGGCATGGGGACGGGCATGGGAGGTCAAGACAGCATCAACATCAATGCAGGTGGGATGGGCACAAGCATTGGCATGCAGGGCATGGCCGCCCTACCTGAAGACGCTTTCTCAGGTGAAAGCTCAGGTCCTGTAGGTGCCATGAACCCTGGAGGTGCCATGTCTTCCCCCCCTGCCGACCCTGGGTTGGGCGGCACGGAGGAGGCTGCTGCACCTGCCACCCGTATCCAAGCTGACCAATCGGGTGTCCCTGCCACGTCAGACAGGAGTGGCGACAGCCTGGACGAGGGGGGAGGGGCGGTGGAGGGAACCCCAGATGGTGCAAGCTCGGGGCAACCCTCAGGGGGCGTGGAAGGGGGCGCGGAAGGGGGGGCGGAAGGGGGAGGACAGGGGGAGATAGGCACAGAGGGGGATGCGATAGGGGGAGGAGCAGGGGAGGAGAGGGTGGGAGTGGTGGAGGGGGGGCCGAAGGGGGCTGCGAAGAAGGGGGAGAAGCGGAGGGGGGGTACGAACGAGAAGAGCATCAGCCTGGGCGTGCTGCAGCAGTATTTCGCAGGGAGTCTGAAAGACGCGGCTAAGGCGCTGGGAGGTGAGTCTATTGTGTTTAGGTGCCTTACCTTAGATGCAAGGATGAGTGAGAAGAGCATTAGCCTGGGCGTGCTGCAGCAGTACTTTACGGGGCGCCTCAAGGACGCGGCTAAGGCGCTGCAGGGTGAGTTGTTAAGCCAAAATAGCCCGATCGGAACCTAGCGTGAAGTTTGGTGAGTTTCACGGAATCTGTGCTCAAGGTGTTGTGGGGTGAGGAAGGTGTGTTGGTTCGGTTGCAGCCTGGTGCCCGCCTAGTGTCAGCCTGCCCGCCTGGTGTCAGCCTGCCCGCCTGGTGTCAGCCTGCCCGCCCGGTGCCAGCCTGGTGTCTCCCTGTGGGCGTCTCAAAACGACATCAAGGTTGCAAGGAGAAAATACCAGAGGGGATTTATTCTGCTGTTTCGCCGGCAGCACGGCATCACCCAGTGGCCGTCGCGAAAGATCAACAAGGTGTCGCGGAGCATCCAGTTCTCACCACTGCTCGCCCTCCCTGCCCGCCCACCTCCCCCACTACAACCCCTGTACCGCCCCTCCTCCTGTCCCCCCTGTCCAGTGTGCCCTACCACACTGAAAAGGATCTGCCGGCAGCACGGCATAGCGCGCTGGCCATCCCGAAAGATCAACAAGGTGTCGCGGAGCATCCAGAAGCTGCAGGACGTGATTGAGTCCGTGCAGGTGCCAGCTGGCGCGCTGCGATTGGACGCCATCACGTCTGAGCTGGCGACGGCGGCGGCAGTGAAAGCAGTCACGGGAGCACAGGTATGGGACGGAGCACAGGTATGGGACGGAGCACAGGTATGGGACGGGGCACAGGTATGGGACGGAGCACAGGTATGGGACGGGAGCACAAGAATGGGATGGGACACAGGTATGGGACGGAGCACAGGTATGCGACTGGGCACAGGTATGGGATGGAGCACAGGTATGGGACGGGGCACAGGTATGGGATGGAGCACAGGTATGGGACGGGAGCACAGGTATGGGACGGAGCACAGGTATGGGACGGAGCACAGGTATGGGATGGGGCACAGGTATGGGACGGGGCACAGGTATGGGACGGAGCACAGGTATGGGACGGGGCACAGGTATGGGACGGAGCACAGGTATGGGACGGGAGCACAAGAATGGGATGGGACACAGGTATGGGATGGGGCACAGGTATGGGACGGAGCACAGGTATGGAACGGAGCACAGGTATGGGACGGGGCACAGGTATGGGACGGGGCACAGGTATGGGACGGAGCACAGGTATGGGACGGAGCACAGGTATGGGACGGGGCACAGGTATGGGACGGAGCACAGGTATGGGACGGGAGCACAAGAATGGGATGGGACACAGGTATGGGATGGGGCACAGGTATGGGACGGAGCACAGGTATGCGACTGGGCACAGGTATGGGATGGAGCACAGGTATGGGACGGGGCACAGGTATGGGATGGAGCACAGGTATGGGACGGGAGCACAGGTATGGGACGGAGCACAGGTATGGGATGGGGCACAGGTATGGGACGGAGCACAGGTATGCGACTGGGCACAGGTATGGGATGGAGCACAGGTATGGGACGGGGCACAGGTATGGGATGGAGCACAGGTATGGGACGGGAGCACAGGTATGGGACGGAGCACAGGTATGGGATGGGGCACAGGTATGGGACGGAGCACAGGTATGGGACGGAGCACAGGTATGGGACGGAGCACAGGTATGGGACGGAGCACAGGTATGGGACGGGGCACAGGTATGGGACGGAGCACAGGTATGGGACGGGAGCACAAGAATGGGATGGGACACAGGTATGGGATGGGGCACAGGTATGGGACGGAGCACAGGTATGGAACGGAGCACAGGTATGGGACGGGGCACAGGTATGGGACGGGGCACAGGTATGGGACGGAGCACAGGTATGGGACGGAGCACAGGTATGGGACGGGAGCACAAGAATGGGATGGGACACAGGTATGGGATGGGGCACAGGTATGGGACGGAGCACAGGTATGCGACTGGGCACAGGTATGGGATGGAGCACAGGTATGGGACGGGGCACAGGTATGGGATGGAGCACAGGTATGGGACGGGAGCACAGGTATGGGACGGAGCACAGGTATGGGATGGGGCACAGGTATGGGACGGAGCACAGGTATGGGATGGAGCACAGGTATGCGACAGGGCACAGGTATGGGATGGAGCACAGGTATGGGACGGGGCACAGGTATGGGACTGGGCACAGGTATGGGATGGAGCACAGGTATGGGACGGGGCACAGGTATGGGATGGGGCACAGGTATGGGACGGGGCACAGGTACGGGACGGAGCACAGGTATGGGGTGGAGTCTTAGTTTAGGGTTTGAGTTTTCTTGAGGTAGACTTGGCTTAGGACTTCGGTTCAAAGGTTCAGGTTTGTTCTTCGGGTAGCAAGCTAAGGCTTTGCATTCTCTCCCCTCTTCCTCGTCACCCTACCTTCTTCTGTCCTCCACTCTGTGTCTCCACTGTGCAGATCGGCGGTTCTTCCAACTCTGCGGCTTTCTCAAACCCAGCATTAGCGGCAGCAGCAGGGGGGGGGCAGCAAGCACCGCTCCCAGGGGGATCTACCATGCTGCCGGCCCCATCCTTTGGCCTCAACTCCATGTCCTTTCAGTCCCTCCCTTGGCCTAGCAACCGCCATCCCTCTATGCTAGACCCTATGATGGGAGGCTCGGCGCACGGACCTGGAGGTTCGGCGCACGGGCCTTTAGCTACGGGAGGTTCGGCGCACGGACCCCTGGCCATGGCTGGAGGCTCAGCGCATGGTCCGTTCATGGGCGTGGGAGGTTCGGGCCACGGTGGAATGGCGTTTGCTGGAGGTTCGGCACATGGAGGGATGGCGTTTGCGGGAGGCTCGGCGCATGGAGGGATGGCGTTTGCGGGAGGCTCGGCGCATGGGGGGAATGCGTTTGGGGGAGGGGGGGGGTCGACACATGGCGCGTCGCTACTGGCTGCTGCAGCGGGAGCAGGGTCGAATCATGGCCCATTCCCAGGGGGGGCTCTGCAGGGGGGCTACATTCTCATGGGTAACTCGGCACATGGCCCCCATATGGCGCATGTTGGGGGTTCAATGCATGGGGGAGGGTCAATGCATGGGGGAGGGTCGATGCATGGGGGAGTGATGGCAGGTATGCATGCGGCTGCTGCTATGGGTATGGGTGGCATGGGTGGTATGGGTGGTCCAGGCGGCATGGTAGCAGCAGGCATGCAAGCAGGGGGGTCGCATCATGGGGCATCATTCTTTGCAGGGGGGTCGGGCCATGGGGGGCACCATGCGGCACACATGATGATGGGATCTGCACATGGGGGTGCGCCATATGCAGGTGCGGCAGCTGCTGCTGCTGCCGCAGCTGCCGCAGGTATGGCCGGAGGTGGTGGTGGCAGCGGAGGTTCGGGAGGAGGTTTGGGACCGAACCAGCCAGGAGTGTCGGCGCATGGGGGAATGGCGGGTAGCGCAGGGGGGATGCTCCCGCCCAATAAGACGCCGCCACCTGGCAAGCTGCCGATACCCCGCGACCCGTCTACTTCGAACCTGAGTCTGGCGTTAAGCCTGAAGAACGGAGCGGGGACGCAGAGAGCAAGTGGGGCAGTTGCTGGGGGGGATGACGAGGGCACGACACATGGCACGAGCCTATTGGCCAGTCTGCTTCGGAGGAGTGAAGAGGATTTGGGATTGGCTGGGGGGACTGTGAATGGGGGAATGGGAGCGGGGGATGCGGGGGAAGGGATGGGTGGGGGGGGAGAGGAGGGGGGAGGGGCGGGGGGAGGTGGTGCGGGGGAGAGGGAGAGGGGGGGGAATTTGGGGATGAGCTTAGGCATGCAAGCAGGCATGGGGGGGGGTGCGCCTGGGGGTGTTGGAGGGGAGCAATCGTTGCAACGACAGCAGCCGCAGCACCAGCCGCAGAGTGGTGCTGCTCCTGGTGCCGCTGCTGTGGCTGCTGGGGGCAGAGGGCAGCAGAGGGAGGAGACGAGGGTGCACGGTGGCCGGTCCGCGTTTGTTGCGCTGCGCAGCTACCACCCGATCGCAGGGGAGCACTCAAACGACCAGCACCACCAGGGGCAGCAGCAGGGGCACCCAGCAGGCAGCAGGGACGGGCGCTCGGGTGCGGGTGAGGGGCAGCAGGGCGCGGCAGGAGGCATAGGAGGTCGGCTGCGTGGAGGGGCTCCCTGTGCTGCTGACATGGCTGCTATCGGCCAGCCGAATGCAGCAGCAGCAGGAGCAGCAGGAGGTCACGGTGGGGTAGAGGCTAGAGGGGCCGCTGGGGCTGCTGGTGCGGGGGCTGGTGCTCATACTCATGCTCCCACCACATCGCTGCACCTATGGGAGGCAGACCGGAATGCAGCCTCGGCCTCCGCTGCTGCTGCAGCAGCTAGCACAGGAGCAGGAGGGGCAACAGCAGGAGGAGGAGCACTGTCGGTGGTAACAATCAAGGCCACGTTCGGGGGGGATACGATCCGGTTCAGAGTGCCACTCAACTCCGCCACATTCCAATTGGTGCAGGAGGAGGTGGGCAGGCGGCTGCGCGTGGCCATGGGCGCCTTTTCACTCAAGTACCTGGACGAGGACGGCGAGTGGGTGGTGCTGGCGGGCCCGCAGGACATGGAGGAATGCGTCCATATTGTCAGAGCGGCGGGTGGTAACACCATCAAGCTTAGCATCAAGGCGGAAGGGGCTGGAAAGGGTTGAAAGGGAGGGCATTCTCCCTCAAGTGCCTTGATGAGGACGGCGAGTGGGTGGTGCTGGCGGGCCCGCAGGACATGGAGGAATGTGTGCATATAGTGAGGGCGGCGGGTGGTAACACAGTAAAGCTCAACATCAAGGCGGAACGGGCTGGAAGGGGTTGAAGGGGGCGCCTTCTCCCTCTGGTACCTTGACGAGGACGGCAAGTGGGTGGTGCTGGCGGGGAGAGGTTGAATCAGGGGCTGTTCTCTTCTCCCTTGAGTGCCTGGGTGGGGTGAGGACCAGGGTCCTCTCTGAGAGCGGCGGGTGATATTACGGTACAACTCAGCTAGAGGAGAGGCGGAGCACCAAGTTCTTAATGTAGCATGTAACGTAGCTAATTCTACTCATACATGTAACATGACAGGCGGGCCCCTAAGACTGAGCCCCCTTCTGTCCTAATGCGAATTAGCTCGTACAGAAGGTGCTTATAGAGCTAGAGAAGCTGCCATTTTCATGTAGATAGGTATTAACTACCCGAACCTGAAAACGTGTTCTGTTCTGAACCTCCTCTTGGTTCTGGCGAGCATGCTCTGGGCGGGAAAATTACTGCCGCGGACTGTCCGCAAATCTTTTCATACTTTCGTGGACAGCCCCTACTTTCATGGACACCACATCAACATTTCGCTTCTCCCGTGGACTCCGTCCCTACTTTCATGGACATCCGCCTTACTTCCATGGACAAGGTCAAAATCGCAGGAAATAGGCGAAAACTCAACTGTACAAAAAATGACGGGCGCTGAAAAAAAAACAGCAGCTCAGCATGCGTCGCAAAGAGTCGCGCACTACAGTGCCCCAAACCTAATCCGAAACAGAGTCTCCCCGAAATTGGGAACATGACTTTCACGCCAGGTTTTCGTTTGGTGCGTTTGGCACAAAAAGTCCTGTGATGTGTGATTCGGCAGGCAGTACCTGTCAACTTATACATATTATCTATGTAGAAGTTATAGGCTAGACTGAGGTATGCTTCTAGTGAGTACAACCAACTAGTATTTGTTCTAGGTTTCCACCTCTAGTAATCATTCGTTTCTACGTTAACATGGTATCACGCTTAGGTTAGGATCCCCCCGCCTACCGCTTCCGCCCGTCGCGCCTCCTAGGCCCCGTCGCGCCCCCTAGGCCCCGTCGCGCCCCCCCTGGGCCCCGTCGCGCTCGTTAGGCCCCGTCGCGCCCCCCCTGGGCCCCGTCGTGCCCGCTGGGCCCCGTCGCGCCTCCTAGGCCCCGTCGCGCTCCCCCTAGGCCCCGTCGCGCCCGCTGGGTCCCGTCGCGACCCCTAGGCCCTAACGCGCCCCCGCTGGGCCCCGTTGCGCCTCCTAGGGCCCGTCGCGCCCCCCATGGGCCCCGTCGAGCCCGCTGAGCCCCGTCGTGCCTCCTAGGCATCGTCGCGCCTCCTAAGCCCCGTCGCGTCCCCCCCCTCTGGACCCCGTCGCGCCCGTTCGGCCCCGTCGCGCCCCTCCTAGGCCCCGTCGCGCCCGCTGGGCCCCTTCGCGCTTCCTAGGCCCCGTCGCGCCTGCTAGGCCCCGTCGCGCCCCCCCTGGGCCCCGTCGCGCCCGTTAGGCCCCGTCGCGGCCCCCCTGGGCCCCGTCGTGCCCGCTGGTCCCCGTCGCGCCTCCTCGGCCCCGTCGCGCCCCCCCTGGGCCCCGTCGTGCCCGCTGGGCCCCGTCGCGCCCCTTAGGCCCCGTCGCGCCCGCTGGCCCCTGTCGCGCCTGCTGTTAGCGCTCGCCCGCCTGGCCTCCTCCTAGTGCCGCTCGGCCTCCTCCTAGTGCCGCCCGGCCTCCTCCTAGTGCCGCCCGGCCCCTTCCTAGCGCCGCCCGGCCTCTCCTCAGCGCTGCCCGGCCCCTCCTCGTGCCCGACCGGCCCCAGCAGCACCAGCCTGGCCCCTCCCAGCACCAGCCCGGCCCCAGAGCACCTGCCCGCCTCCCCTGCTCGGCCTGCCGTGTCCTCTCGGGCCCTGTGTCTTCTGCTTGCCTGCGCTGGGACGCCTAGCTGCTGCCCTACTGGAGAGTGCTGCCGCCGTGTCCCCGCGCCGCTGTGCTCCTGTGCCGCTGAGGAGCTGTGCTGCTGTGCCGCTGTGTCGCTGAGGAGCTGTGCCGCTGACCCTGCACGATGGCTGACTTTGTGCTCCGCCTGGACGCTGAGGGCCACGCGGTTGACTTCGCCGCCTGGCTCTCCGATCTTCGCCGCCAGCTTACAGGTCAGCGCCAGGATGGCCACTCTCTGGTTGTCCATGCTGATGGCTTGCTCCCCCGTCCCCCTGCACCTACTCCCCTCCCTGCTGACCCCTCCTCTGATGACCGTGAGGCTTTCTCTACTGCTGCGCTGGCCTGTGCGATCTGGGACTCACGCGATGCAGTAGCTCAGGTTGCTATTAGTCACGCCCTCCCTGTGTCTGAGCGCTCGCGTTTTGCTACTGTTGAAACGGCCAAAGCTTATTTAGACGCCGTTATTGCTCGCTATTCCACCCCTGCCTCCGCTTCTGCTGGCCGCTTGCTCTTTCCGATGCTGTTCCCAGACCTGGCTGCCTTCCCTACTGTCGCAGATTTTGCCACTCATTTGCGTGCCCTAGAGACTCGCTATCGCACTGCCAGCACTGCTGCCCAGCTCACTGCGCTCCCCCCTCCTTTCTGCATGACGCTCTATTTTATCGCTATGCGCCTGCCTGACCGCCTCGCTAGTGCTCGCGACCACTTTCTTAGCCAGCACCCGGGTGACCTCACCCTGACCGCCTTTGTCGACACCCTCACTGAGATCGAGACTCGCCAGCGCACTATCGCTCAGTCGAGCGGTGCGCCGCCAGTCTCTATCTTTCACGGCTGTGCCCCATCCCCGTGCACGTTCACTGACGTTTCGGCTGCGGTCGCCACGGCGACCCCTCTTACCGAGACGGCTGCTGCTGTCGACCCGCAGCAGCGCTCGCGTCGCGGTGGCCGTGGCCGCCAGGGAGGTAGGGGTGGTGACGCAGGTGGTAGTGGTCGTGGTGGTGGTGACGGTAGTCCGCCTGAGGGGACTACCACCGGTGGGCAGGAGCAGCAGTCCCAGCAGCAGCAGGACCAGCCCCAGCCGCAGCCGCCGTCCCAGCAGCACCCGCCGCAGCCGTGGGCTCGTCTCCCGCCTGGTTGGCCCGGCACCTCCGGAGGCGGTGGCCGTGGTGGCGGCCCGCGCAGCTTGGCGTCTACCAGCGGCTCCAGTGCTGTGACCTGCCAGTACCAGCTTCAGACCGGGCCTCTCCGCGGCACTCTGTGCCGCCGCCCGCACCCGACCGCCCGCTGTTTCCGCCGCCTCGACGATCTTTTTCGTCGTCGCTTTGGCCCGGCCCCGGACCTCCCTGACTGGCACAGCCTGCTCCGCCAGGGCGTGCCGATCTTTGAGTTAGACATGGATCAGATAGGTGCTGCTTTGCATGCTTTGTATGCTGACGCTTCTAGTGTTGATGGATCTTACTACCCTGTGTACTCTAGTTTAGGTGTTTCACCCTTGTGTAGCTTAGCTTCCCCTGCTGCGACAGGCGTAGGACTGCCTAGGTTGCCTAGTCTCGTCGCTGCACCGGCTCCGTCCCCGGCCCCCGCCACTGCGTCGCTGTCCTTCACTCTCGACTCTGGTGCTTCTGCCTGCTTCTTCCGCGACCGTTCCACGCTCACGCCGCTTGCTGCACCTGCTGTTGTCTCTCTCGCTGACCCCTCTGCGGGTCCGGTCGTCGCGCGCAGTTCTACGTCCCTTCCCTGTCCGGCAGTTCCCTCGGGCTCCCTTACTGGCCTCCACGTTCCCTCGTTCTCCAGGAACCTGGTTGGTGTCGGCTGTCTCCAGGACCTCGGCGTCACCACCACGTTCCCCGGGCACGAGCGGTTCGCTGTCTGTTCTGAGGCTGTCTCAGGTTCCCCCCTTGCGACGTTCCCCCGGGACCCGGTGTCCGGTCTGTTTACCCTACACACCGCTTCCCCCCCGGTTGGTGCGTCCTCCCAGGTCGCTGCAGCTTGCTCGTGTCGGTCCCTCACTCACCCCTCCCTTCTCTGACTACCTCCGTGCTGCTCGTCCCCTTGTCCCTCGGGTCCTTGCCTCTCTTGTTACCGACCCTGCTGTTCCTGTCTCGCGCCTTGACGCGCTTGTCGCTGCTGTCGCTGACTTCGCTTCTACCCGCCGCCTTGACTACGCTACCGCTCTGGTCTCTGACCCTGCCCGTCCTCTGTCCGTCGGGGGTGCTCCTGCCCTTGGCAGTGACGTCCTAGAGGACAGGCAGTACGAGCTGGCTTTCCTTTCCGAGGCTGCTCCCCATCTCTGCTCCATGCTGTTAGTCCCTGAGGGTGACCCAGACGCCTTCGACATCCCGACCCCTCGCACCTACGCTGAGGCCACCTCGGGACCTTGGGCCTCTCAGTGGATAGCTGCCATGGAGCAGGAGATGGCATCTTGGAGATCCACCGGCACTTACGTCGACGCAGTTCCCCCGCCTGGGGTGAACGTAGTCGATGGTCGGTGGCTCTTCAAGGTGAAGCGCCCCCCTGGAGAGCCGCCTGTCTTCAAGGCGCGCTACGTGGCCAGAGGTTTCAGTCAGCGCGAGGGGGTTGACTTCTTCCAGACCTTCGCCCCGACCCCGAAGATGACCACTCTTCGGGCGCTGCTACACGTAGCAGCACAGCGTGACTACGAGCTTCACTCCCTCGACTTCTCTACTGCCTTTCTTCAGGGCAGCCTACACGAGCAGGTCTACCTGCGCCGACCACAGGGCTTCACTGGTACCTTCCCTCCTGGGACCCAGTGGCTTCTCAGGCGCCCGGTCTACGGCCTGCGTCAGGCTCCCCGCGAGTGGCACGACACGCTACGTGCCACGTTAGCAGACCTGCAGTTCTTTCCGTCCTCTGCTGACCCTTCACTGTTTGTGCGTTCCGGCCAGACTCCGTTCTACATCCTTGTCTACGTAGACGACCTGGTCTTCGCTACTCCTGACAGGGACGCACTGGCCTCTGTGAAGGCTGAGCTGCTGAAGAGACACACCTGCACTGACCTTGGAGAGCTGCGTCGCTATCTTGGCCTGCAGATCTCTAGGGACAGAGCAGCACGCACCATCACTCCGACCCAGTCACACTTGGTGCGTCAGGTCCTTCAGAGGTTCGGTCTTCAGTTCTCCTCCGCACAGCCCACACCTCTACCCGTAGACCATGGGCTCTCTGCTCCCGTTCCTGAGGAGCCAGTAGAGCCCAGTGGCCCCTACGCAGAGCTGGTGGGTTGCCTCATGTACCTGATGACTTGCACTCGCCCAGATCTCGCATACCCTCTCAGCATCCTGGCTCGCTTTGTGGCTACAGGCAGACACCGACCTCAGCACTGGTCTGCCGCTAAGAGGGTTTTGCGTTATCTTGCTAGTACATCAGGCATGGGGTTAGTGCTTGGAGGACGCAGGCCAGTGGTCCTTACTGGGCACACAGACGCTTCTTGGGCAGACGACGCTGAGACGCTCAGGTCGTCGCAGGGCTACTGTTTCAGCCTTGGTTCGGGTGCTATCTCTTGGAGATCCACTCGCTCGTCGTCTGTGGCTCAGTCTAGCTGTGAGGCTGAGATCTACGCTGGTGCCATGGCGGCACAGGAGCTCCGCTGGCTGACCTTCTTGCTCACAGACTTAGGTGAGCGGCCTAGCTCTGCCCCGGTCCTGTACGCTGACAACAGGGCCATGATACTCCTGTGTCAGGAGCCTCGGCTTGAGGGCAGAGCGAAGCATATCCAGCTGCGGTACTTCCTCCTGCGCGAGCTACAGCAGCGCCGCCAGGCCCGCGTAGTTCACTTGGCCTCAGGTGCCAACACAGCTGATATCTTTACTAAGGCGCTTGCGCCTAAAGATCATCAGCGGCACTGTGTACAGCTTGGTCTTGTTCCTATAGCTGCTTCCCTGTTAGGATCCTGATTGTGTACTCTCTATTATATATGCTTGTCAGACTGGCCTTGTGGCCTTACCTCCAGTGGCTGGACTAGAAGTGCCGCCCTGGCTTGCTTTAGTCTTGTTTGTACTCTTGCTGACTGGTCTCCAGACCCCTGCCTCAGTGGTTGGACTAGTAGTGCCGCCCTGAGCTGTTTGCTTCTTGTTTAGTTTCACCCCTTGTCTAGCCTAGGGGGTGTGTCAACTTATACATATTATCTATGTAGAAGTTATAGGCTAGACTGAGGTATGCTTCTAGTGAGTACAACCAACTAGTATTTGTTCTAGGTTTCCACCTCTAGTAATCATTCGTTTCTACGTTAACAGTACCCACGCGTTTCTACGTAACTGTACTTCAGAAGGAAAAATCGGTACGCTCTGTAAATTTGTCTACCAGTTCAGACTAGTGCTGCTGTTGTTGTTTACATCATATTCGCAAAAGGAAAGGTTTCGTTCTCATGATAAATGTTTTTGGAAAATTTCCCTGCATAACTTCCAAAATATATTATGTTTTTTAACAAGGCTCTAAATAAAAATGCTTCTTTGAAATATGATTCTGATTCTGTTTTGGATTAGGTTTGGGGCACTGTAGTGCGCGACTCTTTGCGACGCACGCTAAGCCGCTGTTTTTTTTTTTCAGCGCCCGTCATTTTTTGTACAGTTGAGTTTTTCCCTATTTCCTGCGATTTCGACCTTGTCCATGGAAGTAAGGCGGATGTCCATGAAAGTAGGGACGGAGTCCACGGGAGAAGCGAAAGGTTGATGTGGTGTCCATGAAAGTAGGGGCTGTCCACGAAAGTATGAAAAGATTTGCGGACAGTCCGCGGCAGTAATTTTCCCGCTCTGGGCTCTGCAAAATGCTGAAACCCCGGGGAGACGAGGGAACCCTAGGGAGCGTGTTCAAGTGTTCGCAGGGACTGACAGGCGAGCCTTTTTGTCTCCCTAGGGCTTTCATTTCGCATCTCAAGTTTTACTCTGCGGCGGTGTTGATTTTCGCACCAGAGGTTTGAGACTTGAAACTGAAATTTCAAGTGCGAGCGCCTGTCTGGCCTGACTTTCAAGAGTCACTCCCTGAACCGAGCATCAGTGTGACGCTTCCTAGATCTAAGGGCGTGTCCCAAGAGTACGTCCCGCATACACCCTATGCGTTGTTGTAGGTTCCGGCACGGTAGGAAACTGGATTTTCTGCTCCACCGTTTTGAAAAATATAGGCACCTTACTGAACCTGTACGAACTGTACGCGAGATGTTCTCTTGGGACATGCCTTAATTTCCTAGTTCCCAGTCTGTCACGCTTCAGTTTGGCTTCGCCTGATCAAAATCCCGCGCTTCTAACCCTGCCTGAGCATTGGAGGTACTGGCACACCAGACCACCAGGAAGACAGAAAAAACCCCCAGGAAGCGATACACCAGCTCTGCTCCTAGTAAGCGACTCCGACATTGTCTCCAGCAAACCTTACAGAGATTAATGAGTCGTAAGAAATGGACGACTTAGGGTATATTTTAGGCGCCTCTAAAAGCAATCCTTACAGAGATTAATCAGTCGTCAGAAATGGACGGCTTAGGGTATTTTTGAGGCGCCCCTAAAAGCAATCCTTACAGAGATTAATCAGTCGTGAGAAATGGACGGCTTAGGGTTCTTTTGAGGCTTAGGGTATTTTTGAGGCGCCCCTAAAAGCAATCCTTACAGAGATTAATCAGTCGTCAGAAATGGACAGCTTAGGCAATTTTTTAGGCGCCTCTAAAACCAATCCTTACAGAGATTAAACAGTCGTCAGAAATGGACGGCAATTCCTACGGCCGTCATCATCGCCGTCAGTACAGTCGGAGCCATCTTCCCTACGCCGTCCCACAAGCTCTCGGAGCCAGCGATGGCTGTTCCTCCCTATGGCCAGCCGCTCCTAGCAGTATCCCTGGTGGCAGTATCGCCAGCAATATTGCTGGCACTACTATCCCCGATGGCTTCCCGGGCGGTTTCCCCGGCAATGCCGCCGCCGTTCCCACCGCTTCCGCCTCCGCCGCTGTTTCCATCCCCCAGTTTCTCCCCACTCACTCGCCGGTCGTTTCCGCCTTCGGGGCAGCTCGTTCCGCCGCGGAGCATTCGGGGGGGGCATTGCAGCCGTTTTTCCGGAATGAGGCGCAGCCATCCGCGCCATCCGCCCCTTCCGCACAGTCTGCTCTTGAGTTCGCCCTGCTCGACTCCCAGCTGCTACCCGCAGTCGCGCAGCAGCTGTCGCAGCAGTCGTCGCAGCAACCGTCGCATCTGCTGTCGCAGGATGTGCATCAGGAAGAGCAGTTCGGTCAGGCTCCCTTGCGGCGGAGTCAGCATCAGCCGCAGCAGTACCAGAACCAGCAGCAACAGCAGCAGCAGCAGCAGCAACAGCAGCGGCAGGGGGAGCAGCAGTTGTTGCAGCACCAGTTTCAGCTGCACGAACAGCAGCAGCAGCAGCAGCTGTTTCAGCAACATCTCTTCCAGCAACAGTCGCAGCAGCAGCAGCCGCAGGCGCCAGTAGCGGATCAGCAGCGAGTCATTCAATATCTAGTGCAACAGCAGCGAAACGTCCAATCGGCCGCAAACTGGCACCGTCAGCAGCTGCAGCCGCAGCATCAAGGGTACGAGCAGCAGCGTCAGCAGCAGCAGCAAGGGTACGAGCAGCAGCGTCAGCAGCAGCAGCAAGGGTACGAGCAGCAGCGTCAGCAGCTGCAGCAAGGGTACGAGCAGCAGCAGCAAGGGTACGAGCAGCAGCAGCAGCAGCAGCAGCAAGGGTACGAGCAGCAGCAGCAGCAGCAAGGGTACGAGCAGCAGCAGCAGCAGCAGCAGCAAGGGTACGAGCAGCAGCAGCAGCAGCAAGGGTACGAGCAGCAGCAGCAGCAGCAGCAGCAGCAGCAAGGGTACGAGCAGCAGCAGCAGCAGCAAGGGTACGAGCAGCAGGGCCCATCAGAGCCGTACCAGCAGCAGCAGGTCTACCGGCAGCAGCAGGCGCAGCAGCCACAGGAGCAGTTTCAGATTGAGCAGCAACAGCAGCAGCAGCAGCAGCAGCAGGTAGATCATCCGTATTTTCTCGACTTTATGCACCAGCAGCAGCAGCCGCACGATCAGCAGCAATTGCAGCCGCCAGAGGAGCTGCAGCAGGTGGGGCAGCATGCAGAGGAAAACGATTTTCAGACGCAGCTACACCCGTTCTACACCCAGCAGCAGCAGCAGCAGCACGAGGAGGCAGCAGAGGAGGAGGATGTGGGGGAGGAGGAGGAGGAGGAGGAGGATGAAGAGGAGGAAGAGGAGGAGGCTGAGGGAGAGTATCCGGAAGAGGGAGAGCAGCACGAGTTGCAGGGGGGCTTATCGCTTGTCGGCTCCGCAGTGGCAGGTTTGGAACTCGTAGGCTCGGCAGTGGCAGACCTAGCAACGGACGGAGCAGTCCCGTTTGTTCTGGAAGAGGTTGAGGTGGCTCGACTGGAAGGGGAGGCGGAGGAGGGGGAGGAGGAGGGGGAGGGGGAGGGGGAGGGGAGGGGGAGGGGAGGGGGAGGGAGAGGGGGAGAGGGAGAGGATTGAGATTGAGGGTGCGATTGAAGAACCAGGGGAGCATGGCGCGGAAACAGGTGTGAAAGGGAGCAGAAAGAGGAGGTTGGAGGACTTGGACTGGGGGGAAGAAGAAGAGGAAGAGGAGGAGGGAGACGAGGGAGGAAACGCAGGAGAAGGGGAAGAGGAGGGGGATGGAGAGGAGTGCAAGGAGGGAGAACAGGAAGGCGAGCAGGAAGGAGAGCAGGAAGGAGAGCAGGAAGGATTGCAGGACGGAGAGCAGGAGAAGGAGGGGGATGGAGTGAGTGAGGAAGCGTCACTCGTCCGCCCATCCTTTCCCACAACTCCCTCCCCGCTCCTTTGCTCCGAAGCGGACTTCCAGCAGCTCTTATCCTGCATCGAGGCTGCTTCTAACGAGGACGCCATGGCCATGGCTCTCCAGCTCCTCCTAGAGGAACAGCGTGCCGCCAAGGAAACCTCCTTCTTCCTAAGACGGCTCCGGTTGATGCGAGTAGAGTATCTCCTGCACTACCACTCCCTTGTCCGCTCCATCACTTTCAATCTCCACCGAGACGTTGCAGACAATGATGCGATCTGCCAGCAGGAGATCCAACGGCTGAGGCGCGTCTGCCAGGCCGGCATGACAGCTGGCGCGACGCTGTCGCAGCACCAGATGGACCACGCGCGGATCGAGGAGCGCCCACGGCCCCGCCCCTGGTGGGAGGAGTGTATTGACCCGAATTACCCTCCGGAGTCGTTTCAGAAGGCGTTCCGAATGAGCCGGGAGACGTTTATGGAGCTCTGTGACATGCTGGCACCGCTGATTGTGAAAACGCCATCCAAATTCAAGGCAGCCACCATTTCAGGGGACGTCAGGCTCGGAGCAACGCTCTGGCGCCTGGCCACAGCGGAGCCTATGTATATGATCTCCAAGCGGTTTGTGCTTAGCAAGTCCACTGTGCATGTCATCTCGAATGACGTGCTCAGAGCACTGAACGAAGTTGTTCTGCCCAAGGTGGTCGTCTGGCCCGAGCCAGGCAGCTCTCGGGCAGCTGAAATTTCGGCCCATTTTCTGGAGCTGTGCGGGGTGGATCACGCCTCTTGGGCGGCCCAGCAGCTGGGGAACGGGCAGCTGATAGGAACGCTCTACACCACGCACCTCCCCATCAAAACGCCGCCCTCCAACCTCGGAAAGTTCCTCAATAAGCAGCACACAGAGCGATTCGTCCAGCCATCCTACTCCATTGCAATGCAAGCAGCCATCGACGCCAACGGGCAGTTTATAAACCTTTGCATCGGGCTGCCCGGAGCCCTTTCTGATGAGGAGGTATTGCAGCAGTCGAGTCTCTTCCAGAAGGGGCAGGCGGGGGAGTTGAAGGGAGCCAAGCTGATTGGCTCGCGGTCTTACCCTCTCCAGGATTGGCTGCTGGTCCCGTACGACGAATCGGACAGCGCCACATGGCACCAGACGTCGTTCAATGAGTGCCTGGAGAAGGGGATCGCAGTGGGGAAGGACGCCATTGGCCGGCTGAAAGGCCGGTGGAGGATCCTGCTGAGGCGGGCCGAGGGGAAATTGCACGAGCTGCCCCGCTTGGTGGGGGCGTGCTGCGCGCTGCACAATTTTCTGGAGCAGAAGGGCGAGGCGTTTGACCCTGACTGGGCGCACGAAGCCTTTGATGACTTCATCCCTGCGAAGAGGGCGGATGAAGAGTCGCCGGTTGCTGTGGCGGAGAGGGATGCGCTGGCCCAGGGGATGTGTCAGGCAGTGCACGGGTGAGAGGGCGATGCTGCCAATGCTCTCTGAGGGGTTTGACGAGGGCCAGGTGCACGGGTGGGAGGGGTGCCTGCCTGCAACGAGGCGTTGGGGGAGGAAGGCAGCACGGAGGGAGGAGGAGGAGGAGGAGGAGGAGCCCTTGGCCGCTGCAGCGGAGAGGGGTGTGCTGGTCCACGGCCCAGGAGATATTTCAGGCTGTGCATGGAAGGCAGGGGGAAGCTTCCTCCCCCGCTACATCTCCGGTTGGCTGCATGCAGTCTGCGCCTCCCCCAGATGCATCTGGGCGGCCCTCTGCATCGTCATCTCCGTGTGGCTCCGGTGGATCCCAGCCATTGATGCCGTCATCTCAGATCAAGTCTCAGCCGTCCATCCCATCCTCAGGTGGGTGGGTGGGTGGGTGCATGGCACTGTGAGCATCTGTGCACGAGCTGGCTTCCCTCTCTTCTCTGCGCTCCCTGTACCGAGCACCTGTAGACTGGGTGGAGCAGGTCACTGCTGGTGGGTGCACGATCGTGTTGGCCACCCCTTGTCCTGCTCCCCTCCCTCCCCTCCCTCCCCTCCCTCCCCTCCCTCCCCTCCCTCCCCTCCCTCCCCTCCCTCCCCTCCCTCCCCTCCCCCCAGCCCCTTCTTCCCCTCCATCAACCGCTACAAGTGCAAAAAGGGCATTATGCCATTTTGTGAGTACAAGAATTGGGTCAGTCACAACAGCCTTCTTTCACAATTGTCTTTCATGTCCCCCTCCCCCCCCCCCTCCCCTCCCTTCTTCTTTACATCCATTTTGCTCCATTCGTCCTTTTGACTTGTCCCCCTGACTTATGCCCCCTGCTGCTGAAGCAGGTGGGTGTGATGTTCGGGTGCTGGAGAATGTGGAGTATTTGCAACAGCTGAAGCGGCTAGCACAAGAGGGAGGGGTGGCATCCGACGTCCTTTTCCTCGCGTCCTTTTCCTCACGTCCATCAGCGACACTCTCAAGGCCCAGCTACTGTCCCACTGCACGGCTGTGGTCTGCACTACACGTCTCTGGTGGTGAGTAGCTACTAGCTACCATGTGGTCGCACTAATTCCTTGAAAAGAAGCAGAACAAAAGGCCTGCATGATGCTCTGTATCCTTACATCCTCATTATCTCCTCGCCTCACATCTTTCGTGGGACTACAGGACATTTCCGCGGGACATCTTTCGTGGGACTACGGGACATTTTTCGTGGGACTAGGCTACCCTTCGCCATGGGACATTTTCCGTGGGACATTTGCCCCGGGCCATTGACTTTTCTGTCTCGTGCAGAAAGAGCATTTAGGCACCGAGCCGTTGGAGGCCATGGCAGCAAGCAAACCACTGGTGGCGTGCAACAGTGGAGGGCCAAGGCCCAGGGGCCAACGCAGAGCATACTCCATGGCAAGGCAGGGCGTTTGCTCGCCGTTGGCCCTCCAGTGGGGCCAACGGAGAGCATACTCGATGGCACGATGGGTTTCCTCTGCGCTCCAAGCCTGCAGCTTCCATGGGCGGGGTAGCTCAACAGCATGTGGAGAAGTTTTCTACAGAGGTGTTTTGGTGACCGCCTGCAAGGAATTTCTTTGGGTGATGTGTTTGTATAGTACCTTGCTTGCATTAATTTCACGTAACGAAAAACGTTTCACTCATGGCGATCCATGCTTGGATGAAGGCGTATGCTTCAGATTTCAAGTTGCATCAGCACTACCTTAGTAGTTCCACTGGGCATGCATCTTATTGGGCTGATAAATGCCCTTAGGATCTTTTCAGAGACTAAGTCCCAGTTGAAGAATGAGACTTGAGTAGTGCAACGGAAGTTGAGTAGTTGAACCCTCGTACTAGTATATGAGAACAAGTGATTGATTAGAGAAACAAGCATACAGCAATATATAGAAAATAAGAAAGCAGTTGTAGAATACAGTTGCAGGAGCGGTTATCGAGTCGCACAGCGACTCGATTGTCGCTTCGGTTACCATCCGCGCTGTTGTAACGGTCAGTCGCAACCTCCAGTTGCGACCCTTCGAGTCCCTTCGCGTTCTTTGTCCGCCCCCTCGTGTAACCTCCGTTGACTCGTGTACCCGTTATCAGAAATTCAAGTGATGGTGATAGAGAGAGAGTACACACAATATAGCTACGTGTTGTACCCTCTAAGAGGCTACCCTATACAGTCTATACAAACATAACAAATAGACATGTTTGACACACCCCCTAGACTGCATAGGGGAAAGTCCTAAACAAACAGCTCAGGGCGGCACTACTAGTCCAACCTCTGAGACAAGGGTCTGAGCGACCAGTCAGAAGGAGTACAGACAAGGCAAGCACAAGAGCAGGGCGGCACTACTAGTCCAGCCACTGGGAGAGGACACAAGTTCAGTCTGAGTATACATATAAAGGACAGTACAAAGTCAAGGTCCTAGCAAGTGAGAGGCTACAGGAACTAGACCAAGCTGGACACAGTGCCGCTGATGATCTTTAGGCGCAAGCGCCTTCGTAAAGATATCAGCCGTGTTGGCACCTGAGGCCAAGTGTACTACGCGAGCCTGACGTCGCTGCTGTAGCTCACGCAGGAGGAAGTACCGCAGCTGAATGTGCTTCGCTCTACCCTCGAGTCGAGGCTCCTGACACAGGAGGATCATGGCCCTGTTGTCAGCGAACAGGACCGGGGCAGAGCTAGGCCGCTCACCTAAGTCAGTGAGCAAGAAGGTCAGCCAGCGGAGCTCCTGTGCCGCCATGGCACCGGCGTAGATCTCAGCCTCACAGCTGGACTGTGCAACAGACGAGGAGCGAGTAGCTCTCCACGAGACGGCACCTGAGCCAAGGCTGAAGCAGTAGCCCTGGGTAGACCGGAGTGTCTCAGCGTCGTCTGCCCACGAAGCGTCTGTGTGCCCAGTAAGGACCACTGGCCTGCGTCCTCCTAGCACTAACCCCATGCCCGATGTACTAGCAAGATAACGCAGAACCCTCTTAGCGGCAGACCAGTGCTGCGGTCGGTGTCTGCCTGTGGCCACAAAGCGAGCCAGGATGCTGAGAGGGTATGCGAGATCTGGGCGAGTGCAAGTCATCAGGTACATGAGGCAACCCACCAGCTCTGCGTAGGGGCCGCTGGGCTCTACCAACTCCTCAGGCACTGGAGCGGAGAGCCTGTGGTCTACAGGCAGAGGGGTGGGCTGTGCAGAGGAGAACTGAAGGCTGAACCTCTGAAGGACCTGGCGCACCAAGTGTGACTGAGTCAGGGTGATGGTGCGCGCAGCTCTGTCCCTGGAGATCTGCAAGCCAAGGTAACGACGCAGTTCTCCAAGGTCAGTGCAGGTGTGTCTCTTCAGCAGCTCTGCCTTCACGGAGGCCAGCGCGTCCCTGTCTGCTGTGGCAAAGACCAGGTCGTCGACGTAAACGAGGATGTAGAACGGAGTCTGGCCAGCACGAACAAAGAGTGAAGGGTCTGCAGAAGACGGAAAGAACTGCAGGTCAGCAAGCGTAGCACGGAGAGTGTCGTGCCACTCACGGGGAGCCTGGCGCAGGCCGTAGACGGGGCGCCGCAGGAGCCACTGGGTCCCAGGAGGGAAGGTGCCAGTAAAGCCCGGAGGGCGGCGCAGGTAGACCTGCTCGTGTAGGCTGCCCTGAAGGAAGGCAGTGGAGAAGTCGAGGGAGTGAAGCTCGTAGTCACGCTGAGCAGCTAGGTGTAACAGAACCCGAAGAGTAGTCATCTTCGGGGTCGGAGCGAAGGTCTGGAAGAAATCCACCCCCTCGCGCTGACTGAAGCCTCTAGCCACATAGCGCGCCTTGAAGACAGGCGGCTCTCCAGGAGGTCGCTTCACCTTGAAGAGCCAGCGGCCATCGACTACGTTCACCCCAGGCGGGGGAACTGCGTCGACGAAGGTGCCGGTGGATCTCCAAGATGCCATCTCCTGCTCCATGGCAGCTATCCACTGCGAGGCCCAGGGTCCCGAAGTCGCCTCAGCGTAAGTGCGAGGGGTCGGGATGTCGAAAGCGTCTAGGTCACCCTCAGGGACTAGCAGCATGGAACAGAGATGGGGAGCAGCCTCGGAGAGGAAAGCAAGCTCGAACTGGCGGTCCTCCAGGACGTCACTGCCAAGGGCAGAAGCACCTCCGACAGACGGAGGACAGGCAGGGTCAGAGACGAGAGCGGTGGCGTAGTCAAGGCGGCGGGTAGAGGCGAAGTCAGCGACAGCAGCGACAAGAGCGTCAAGGCACGAGACCGGAACAGACGGGTCGGTAACGAGAGAGGCAAGGACCCGAGGAACGAGAGGACGAGCGGCACGAAGGTAGTCGGACAGCGGGGGGGGCGCGACAACAAGGGAGGACGGAGGAGGCGACGGCAGAAGGGGAGGACGAGACGCGTGGGAACGAAGCAACATAGGGTGGGAGCGCAAGACAGGCGAAGCAGGACGAGCACGGGAGGGACGGTGAGACCAGACGTGGGACGGAGGAGTCGGGTCAGGAGACAGGGGAGGGGACACAGGAGGGGAACGAGGGGGAAGACGGGCCGGGGACGAGTCCGGCGGAGGGAAAACTGGGCCGTAGACAGGAAGAGGAGGAGACGGTCGGGGAGGAACCGACGCAGGGTCGGGGACGGAAGGCCGAGCAGGCGAAGGGCGGACACCGGCGGGGACAGCTGCTGCGGCGGCACAACGGCGACACCTGGACCGGAAGCGGCTCCTCGGCTACCACCGGAAAGCTCCACACCAGCACCCCCAGAGGGACCACCCCCAGAGTCGGCGAACGGGGGCTGCGACGGCGGCGGCGGCGGCGGCGGAGGCGACGGCGGCGACGACGACGGCTGCAGCAGCAGTAGGGGCGGTGGAGGAGGGGACCGGGGAGGGGACACCTGGGGAGGGGCGGCTGGCGAGGACTGCACAGGAGGGCCACCAGAGGCAGAAGACTCCTCAACCGGGTCCACGGACGGAAGGGGGGTGACGTGGGACACACCAGAGGGGGCGGGACGGGGAGGAGGAGGAGGAGGGGCAGGGACTACCGGGGAAGGGGTGACCAGGAACAGGGGGGGGGTAACCGGGGGACCACGGTGGGGAAAGCGGCGGTAGTAGGAGGCGGACTCGTCAAAGGTGACGTCACGAGAGTGAAAGAAGCGGTGAGACGGCGGGTGGTAAAAGTGCCAGTCGGACGCGTCAAGGGGAAAACCGAGGAAGACGCAGGGAAGGGTGCGGGCAGTGAGCTTGTCCGTGCCGGAGGCACGGACGTGAGCAAGGCAGCCCCAGACGTGGAACGCAGACGCGTCACCAGGAGACCCAGTCCAAAGACGGGTCGGCGAAACCTGCGGCTGCTGAGTGTGCGGCCACAGGTTAAGCTGGTGAGAAGCGTAGCGCACAGCGAACGGCCACAGAAAATGGGGTGCACCGGCATGGATCATGGAGGTGCGAGCGACCTCCATGACCAAACCGATGCGTCGCTCAGCGACCCCATTCTGCTGTGGAGAGTCCGGTAGGGTGAACGTCTGGGTGATGCCCTCCGCACGACAAAAGCGACCAAGGACACCTGAGGCAAACTCGCCACCACGGTCTGAGTGAAGACGCAAGACAGGGAGACCGCGGTGGACACGCGCAGAGACAAGCCAGGGGATGAGAGCGCCAGGCACGTCGGCCTTGCGCTCTAGGGGAAAGACTGTGGTGTAACGAGTGAAGTCGTCGACAAGCACAAGGAATTAGCGCTCGCGACGCGGCCCAGGGACGGGGGCGGGGCCCCAGACGTCCAGGTGCAGGGTCTGCAGCGGCGCGGCGGTAGGGGGAAACGAGGAGGAGTGAGGGGCACGGCGAAGCCGACCCTCGACACAAGGCGTGCAAGGTGGGGCTGGAGAGGAGGGAAACGCGGGGAGCGAACCTGGGAGACCAAGGACGAGACCGTGCTGAGACATGTGACGCAGACGCGGGAGCGCAGGGTGACCTAGGCGGTGGTGCCACAGGAGGGTCGGGTGAGTGAGGGAGCGACAGGAGCAGGCAGCAGCAACCTGGGTAGACGTAGCCACCTGAGGGGGCGCTCCAGCCGGGGGGGTCACGGTGTCCAGAGTGAACAGGCCGGACACCGGGTCCCGGGGGAACGTGGACAGGGGGGCACCAGTGGCGGCCTCGGTACAGACAGCATACCGCTCGTGACCAGGGAACGTAGTGGTGACGCCAAGGTCCTGGAGGCAGCCGACACCAACTAGGTTCCTGGAGAACGAGGGGATATGCAGACCTGTAAGAGAACCCAAAGGAACCGCCGGACAGGGAAGGGTGGTGGAACTGCGGGCGACTACCGGACCGCCGGAGGGGTCAGCAAGAGAAACGGCAGCAGGAACAGGAAGCGGCGTCAGGGTGGTAGAGTCGCTGAAGAAACACCGAGAGGCGCCAGAGTCCAAGGTGAAGGAGAGCGAAGCCGAGAGGTCTGGCGACGGAACGACGGCGGAAGCACCAAGACTACACAAAGCAGGGGATCCTACGCCTGACGCAGCAGGGGAGGCTAAGCTAGGCACACCTACACTAGGCAACAGTGAGTAATAAGCAGGAAGCACACTAGAGTCATCAGCATACATCACATGCAGAGCAGAAACAATGGCATCCATGTCCATATCAAAAATCTGAATCTGACGACTAAGCAAATTGTGCCAGTCCGGGAGGTCTGGCGACGGGCCGAAGCGCTGACGAAAGAGGTCGTCCAGGCGACGAAAACAGCGAGGAGTGGAGTGACC